ATGTCCCATTTCAAATTTTTAAGATCTTTAACCACATTTATTTTGTGTCAGAAACCTATATTATGTCAAAAATTTGATCACAATCTAAATTCAGACAGTATCAAGCTTGAATATTGTGTCCAAACATGGTCCAACTGTTCAGGGTTTGACCTCTCGAGTCGTATCAGGCTGCGCTCAGCGAAGTATTTTATTATTGTATACAAGACTATTATTGTTTATGAGAGGATGATTTCTGTTATTTACAAAATTTATTTTTTATAGGTAATAAAGAAAATAGAACATGTAGAAGTCAGCTGGGGACTTGGGGCTGCATTTGAACTTTTATCAGACTCTGGCATGATTAGCTGATAGTGGTCTTAGTTTATGGATAAAAATAGAACATTTAAAAGTTAAGCATGAGACAGTACTGAATTTGAACTTTATCTGAATCAACTGAAAGCGGTACAATTGAAGAATGTATAAGTCATAAAAAGCAATAATTTTACTGTCAGAATATTTTAGATTTGACTTCAGTGATCTCTCATTAATATTTATAGTCTTTGCTGTATGATTGGCTAAAATGCTTGCCACATGGTGCTGTAACAAGGTTTCATATCGTATGAAAACCAGTTACCACTTGAAGCATTTACCATACTGTAATAAAGCAACAGGTAAATCTGTACACTATTTATAATTGTGATTTTTATAAAAATGCTATATTTATTTATTTAAACTGTGAATATGAGAATATAATGCATGTCTTGTAATTTATAAGTGGTAAAAACCAGGTGGTGATATACATTTCTAAACAAAATAATTGTTCCTCTCTTTTTCATGTGGCAGCCAAATTAAGGAAAGAGCTGCTTTCATTTAAATCCTGCTGCAATTCAATTTATGTTTAAACACTAAACCTTCACCAGATTTCTCCTTAATCATTTGTCATCGTTAATGGTACCAATTCTATTATTGGTGATAAGAAAATAAAGCCTTACTCAGCAAATAAGGTTCTAGTAAGAAAAAGGGACGTTTGCTTTTTGTTGGAAAATGTATTGATATAAGACTTTAAACTATGCATAAACACTGGGTACATCTCAGTACATTTGTATATTAAATGATATTATACATTCCAAATATTAGCTCAGCTTTTGGTTTATATGTAAGTAGAGCTTTTTATTTGTAAACTAAGTTTTGTATTTAACACAATCCATTTTGAATTAATAACAATTTAAAATATTATTATCAGTTTAATTTTTGGTTAAATTCATGATAATTTATAACCAAAACCATACATGTATAAATCAGTTTTTCTTGTAAATGGACTGTTTAATTGAAATATCATATTAACTTATTCAAGCATTGGAATCAATTCTGTCCAGGGGAAACAACTTGTTGCAGGTAACTCTACCCAAGATTTACCAGAGTTGAACCTCAGACTGTGAAAGACAATGGGTTAACTTGTGCACTGTTTAGGTTGTTATATGAATTTAATGTGACAAGATTTGTGTATATTCATATCTTCATCAAATAGTAATTCTAATGCAACATTGTTTGTAACGTTCATTTTGATTGGATAACATCACCAATTATCATGGCATCAATTCACAATTGCACTGTTTAGGTTGTAAATGAAAAGATTTGTTTATATTCATACCTACATCAAATAGTAACTTATAAATTGTTTTGAACACATCAAAATGCATAATTTTATGTTTGTTGAACCAAAAAATTCAGTGATTTTTTGTGGGAATAGATCTGATGAAATTCGTGAGTAAATATTGTTTGTGAATGAATGGTATATGATTCTGTGAGTGAATATTTATCCTCATTGTCTTATTTGTGTTAACTGTTAATTATGATGTTACAATGAATTGTTAAAATTATGAAATCCACTGTTAATTCAAAGTTGAATTGATTGTTGTTGAAATTATGGATATACTTGACATTTATCTTTTAATCATAAATTTCAAGGACATAATATATTATGTATATTGCCTTTTTATATATTTTTTTTTAAATTAAGGTGGTCCATAACACTACAGGGAGATAACTCTGTAAAAATCAGCTAAACGTTTTAATCACGTTCTATTGTTAAGAGCGCTATTAATTCAATTTTCCATATAATTAATGTTTTCAAGAGGCATAACTCTTTTACAAATAGTTGATCGGCACTGATTTTCGAACTCTTCCGAGACATTTCTTATATAAACCTACAATTTAAGTTTCATAAAAATCTGGAAAGAATTGTACACATGAGAGTGCCAACGATTCAATTTTCCATATAATTAATGTTTCTAAGGGGCATAACTCTTTTAAAAATAGTTGTTCGGCACTGATTTTCAAATTTGTCCAAGACATTGCTGATATAAACCTACAATATAAGTTTCATAAAAATCTTGCAAAAATTGTACATATGAGAGCGTTAACAATGCAATTTTCTATATAAGAAATGTTTCCAAGGGCACAACTCTTTTAATAAACTGCTTCGCTGAGCGCAGCTAGATACGCCCGCAGAGGTCCAACCCTGAACAGTTGGGGCAAAAATGGACACAATATTCAAGCTTGATTCAGGTCTGAATTTGGATTGTAATTAAATATTTGACATATTATAGCTTTCTGAATAAATGTAGTCATAGATCTTGAAATTGGTTATATGAATTGAATTTATATTCAATTAAAGATTTCTTGCTGTTGTGCAATACTTAGTAAATCTGTTGTCAGACTATAAACAAATAAAGTTCAATTAATTCTCAATGTCATATTAGAAATTGATGAAAAAAAAAAGGGAGATTACATCAATCGATATAAACAATTCACCAAAGTTTCATGAGAATTTGTGACAGCATATTTGAGTTATTGTCCGAAAACCGGAAAATTATCCCTTTTTTTAATGAATAAAACCCCATAACTCAGAAATGTAAAATGTAAAATTTATAAAATTCTAAAGGGAGCTTACAGCAATACATACAAACAATTCACCAAAGTTTCATAAGAATTGCTGAAAGCATTTTTGAGTTTTTGTCCGAAAACTGGAAAATCCCCCCTTTTTTTAAGAATAAAATCCTGTAACTCGGAAACGTAAAATCTAAAATTTAAAAAAATCGAAAGGGCACTCATGTAAATAGATATAAACAATTCACCACAATTTCTTGCAAGTTGGTGAAAGCATTCTTGACTTATTGTCCGAAAACTTGAAAATCACCCTTTTTTTAATGAATAAAACCCCATAACTCGGAAACGTAAAATCTAAATTTTATAAAAAACGAAAGGGAGCTCACGTCAATAGATATAAACAATTCACCAAAGTTTTATGCAAATTGGTTAAAGTATTTTTGAGTTAATGTCCGACATGTTGACGACGGACAGACGGACGGACGGACAACGGTATACAATAATACGACCCGTAAACGGGCGAATAAAAATAGTTGATCAGCACTGATTTTCGATCTCATCCGAGACATTGCTGATATAAAACTTCAATATAAGTTTCATAAAATCTGGCAAGAATTGTACACACGAGAGTGCTAACGAAGCAATTTTCCATATAATTAATGTTTCCAAGGGGCATAAATCTTTTAAAAATAGTTGATCGGCACTGATTTTCGAATTCGTCTGAGACATTGCTGATATAAATCTATGATATAAGTTTTATAAAAATCTGGCTAGAATTGTACATGTGAGAGTGCTAACGAGACTTGACGGACGGACCTCCAGTATTTCTATACGGGGGACAAAAATGGATTTTGATAGTTTAATAATTGAAAAGCAGAATTTTTTTTTAACTTAAGTTTATAAGGGGAAAATGAAATACATTTTACCATAGTTTCAAAAAGGTGTACCTCAGAAATAATTGTGCATAAAATAGAAGTCATTTTCCCAAGACAGTAGTTGAAGATTTTTAATGTCTCAGAATCAGTTTTTAATGATGTACTTAGGTCAGGTTTAGGAATTTTTTTCAGACTCCTTGGTTTTTATTTCCCTATTTCCTCAACTAATGCTCTTCTGACTTATAATATCAATTTTAAATTCTAGATTTTTTTTAATTTCACCTAAGTACATCCTTAATACGCCATGTACATGGTTTTGTGTACTTTATTTATTAAAGAAATAAATTTTAAAACTGTGCTTGTGTTATGTATTTCTTATGACTGGCCTATAATTTAGATATAACTGAAGTCATTGAAGCCTGAAATGTAAGTCTGGTGCAATATATTTGATGTTGAAATAAAACTAAGTTTTGGGTTTATAAACAGCCTACTTGCTATAAATAATTTGACCTTGAGGGTAAAAAGTCAGATGTCTGTAATGATGATACACTACATATCATTTTATAAGGATACACTCATATTTCTCAAGTACATGTTGTTAGATAAATTATGTCCTCTACATTTATGTGTTATCTATAATTACAAAGTTTGACTGGACTCCTAAGCAACTTGATAAAGCTGAGGTGATTAAAAAACACATGCAAGTAAAAAAGACTGAAATGAAATGACATGTAGGTTGCTAGTATTTGAGAAATGAACTTGAATGCTTCATTTAAGGTGGTACCTAACACTACAGGGAGATAACTCTGTAAAAATCAGCTAAACGTTTTAATTACGTTGTATTGTTAAGGAAATATTAAGCTTCTCAATGATCAAAATTAGTGTTTGTCAAACTGCTATATATCCAATGAAATTTTTCTGATAAAGTGGTTGGTTCAAATTTTTTGAAATTTTTATATTTTTGTCAAAGGGTCAAAGTAAACATTTTGTCCAAATTTTATGAAAATTAAACGAGCCAAATTAATATTAGTCAAGGTGTTGGGTACCACCTTAATGATTAAGTCTAAAAATATAGGCTGACTTATGGTCAAACAATAAAGGAAAAACAAATATAACAGAAAGCAACCAAAAACAACTACTTAATAACAGGCTCTTGACTTTAGGACAGGCATTTAAACAATGTGGCGGGTTGAACATGTTTGAAAGCACTCAATCCTCCCCATAACCAGGGACAAAAGTCTAACAGAACAATATAAGTGCATAGATGTCAACTTTTTATTCCTATAATACATAGTAAGCATAACAAACAAACAAATCATCAATACAAGCAATTCATCAATATATTTATGTCAAACCAAAGGTAATAAATGCTAAACATATATACTTCCTCAATGTCTAAATAAAATTTTATTGTAGTTCACACATTCAACTTTGACTTTTGTGTATAAAGCTATCAAAAATAAATATATCTTAAATATGTAAAGCTATATACGGTGATCTGATTAAATTACAGATCCTGTATCCACGCATTGCTTACAAAAATCTGAAAACCTTCTACTTACTGTTTAAACAACCTTTGGGATCCTCTGGTTTTATCGTAATGATACACACAGAAAGTAGGATGGAATGTTGTCACACCGATGTAAGCTAAGTGTGCACAAAGAATCCGTATTTAAATCAGATTGTACACGGACTGGATTCATTCTAAGAGGACAAATGTTGTAACATAGGTGTCAACTCTATTAATATCAATGGGACAATCCAAATATTATCTCTTGAAATTTTTGAATATCACAAAAGCCTTAATATCTCAAATTCTCAAGGGCAGGTTAAAAAAACCTTATTTTCATAAAAAAAAAATCTACAATTTTCTATCATCAAACATCTATGACAATACAAATTTATTTTCATCTGCAAAAAGATGCACAGTATTCAAAACAATATTTGTTAACATATTTAAAGGTGTTTCAGCTGTCTAATATTTTGTTTTGAATGACAAACAAATCAAATACTGGATTTTTTTCAAAGGCTTTAATTAAAGTTTATTAAAGAGAATTAATTTTCCTGCAAAAGTAAGATAGAGTAAATCGAAATACAGATAAAATTGTGAAATAGATGCAACTGCAAAAAAAAAAGGTTACAGATAAGATTTCATATTTCAAAGCTTCACAAAGTCAACACTATATAGATATAAATAATCCTGCTTAAAAGCTTTTAGTATTTACATTAGTTTGATATTTATTTTATACATTAATCTACAAAAACAAGGAAACAAAATTAAACTAAGTTTGATATTAAAGGACCAATTCAGACATTTAACTTTGATTGAATGACGTCTGCTATCAATACCACAGTTGGAGGTCAGTCACAATTGACATTTCAAATGTTTCATCTTAAACACTTAAAACAATTTGATTGCTTGCAGTCAATTGAGATCTGTTCAGTCTATGTTCAGTAGTTATTTACTGCACACATCAACATCATACTGAATTGTCTGAAAAGTTACTAAACAGTACTGAATTGACAGCAAGCAACTTGTCTATACAGTAATGAATTTATTTTAAGGTTTTAAGTCTGAAAATTGACTGAACATGACTCAATAGTTTATTAATAGTTCAGACTTTTCAAATGATGTTAAAATAAAAATGACCATTTAAGACTAAAATTCATTTGCTAGTGTAGTATAATACAACTTCAAGTAAGGTTAATATATTGTTCTATGTATATTAGGCTATATACATGCATGTACACACTACTTAAAAATACCATTGAAATAGAACTACCTGGATTACAAATAAGTTTGTATGATTGTTCTTTTTGCAAGTCCTTTCAACATAAGGACAGAATAAGTTCTGGTAACTGACTAAAATATTTCATAAAGCACAATTTCCAAATAATAATTATGGACAATAGTTAGATAATAACTGTCAATGCTATTTTTAATCATGGTGTAAGAAGCTGTTAGGTAATATTATAACTTATTGTAGTAAAACACATTTCCAGTAAAGTGTAAATTAATTAAAAAGACTAGAACAACACAATAGGCAGATTACTTGTTAAATATGAATTGTTCAGCAAATACAATGGAGGACAAAATGGTCATAACTGTAAAATTATTCAAAGTGCCAGTTCTAAAACTTATTTTCTTGAGGACAAGTTAATGAAATAATGTTCACTGATTGATCAATTCAACCCAGAACTCACATTCTGATTTCGGATGCATATATCTGTATGAAGCTTTTCCTGAAATCACAATAATTAATCTCACATTTTTGTTCAGTCTTGATCACTTTAATAAATGCACACAATAATTTTGAATTTACAGCAGTCCAAGGGTTCTATTGTGTTAAACTGATCATCTAATCTCATAAAGTTTACAAATATAAAATTATTACAATTATGCATTTAATAAAAAAATGTGTATAATTTAATTAAAGCAAACCATTTCAACCTTACAGTGTTATAATACGAGTAGAAGATGTAGGGTTTACACTGTATGTTATTCAGACTGTATCCCAAACACAAAAATCAAAGCACTATTAAAGCTGTGAGCTAGCAAATCGGACTTGATCACAAATATAGAAAGCAGATTATATCAAAATTGAATACAAAATTCCATAAAAATCAAAAAGATAACCCCAATTAAGTATATGTACTTCCCCTTCTGGAAAACTTACATACAAAAAGATTGCGGTAGATGAATTAAATGGTGTTTTGTACTTTCTGCAAGCCATTTACACATCTATGGTTTAACTTTATACCTTAAATTCAGAATTTTGTCAAATCTTGACTGGTGACATAGAGCCTGATTGGCTGACTTTAAAAACACTTGAAGGGCCTCTAATAACAACATTTAATGCTCATGATTATTAACTTTCCCCTTCAAAAATATTGAGATAGATCTAACTTGGAAAAAATGCATAAATGGTCCTTGAAAACGGTAAATTATAATAAATATTATTATCAATTAATTCAATTCTTTATTAAAATAACTGTCTAGATAAATACTACACTAATTGTTATCCCTTCACATAACATTTAAAAGAAAATATATAGCTAGCTGTATTCTAATGCCCCTGACTGTAGGAACATGGTTGACCATACCAAGTCCAAATTCATAAAAAGTATAATATCTGACATATATAAAACAAACTTGATCTGTAATACCATATTAAACACTAAAAAATCGACTCAATATTAACAGGGTTTAACAGTGCATTAACAAACATACACTGAAAATCTTCCAGAAGAATAATTATTTTCATTTAAAAACATTCAAATTTATCATTTCTTATTTCATACAAAGATTACTGGTTAACAACCTTAAAATATTGTCTTAATAAAAAATCTTAATAATAAAATAAAAGTAAAGCATAAATAAGAATGATAATATAAAGCTCTGTATATTGTGAAAGCAGAATGCAATTAAACATTATTATTCTTCAGTACAAAAATGAGTTTCCAACTCTATGTAAAGTTGTTATGTATCATATATTCATAAATGAGTCCAAAGTAATCCACCAGTTAGAAGTCATTACTGATTCATAAATCCTACTTTATAATGAGTCAGTAATCTACTAGTTCAAAGTCATTAATATGAATTCTCAAACCATGTTTTATAATGAATCCATAGTTATCCACCAATTAGCAGTCATCATAGATTTACAAACCATGGTTTATAACTCCCTTCTTCAGGTTCTGGAAACTGTAAATATTAAAATTAATTTGTAATGAAAGTATACTGAAATAACTTGCATATTGATGTATCCCCTGATGGACCAAGGGGATTCACAAAGGGTCCATATTGGCCTTAAATTATGTGAACTTTAGCTTTAGTAATTCAATTAACAAGAGGCTCTCAAGAGCCTGAATCGCTCACCTGTATTTCAGAGGAGAAGATTTTTAAATGTTAGCAAACTTGATGAACAAATTGTGTAAAATTGTCTTTAAAGGGCAATAACTCCTTAAGGGGTCAATTGACAATTTTGGTCATATTAACTTTTTTGTAGATCTTACTTTGCTGAACATTATTGCTGCTTACAGTTTATATATATCTATAATAATATTCAAAATAATAACAAAAAACTGCAAAATTTTGTTAAAACTACCAATATGGTGGCAGCAACCCAACAATGGGTTGTTCGATTCGTCTGATAATTTCACGGCCGATAGATCTTGACCAATTAAACAATTTTACCCCATGTCACATTTGCTCTAAAAGATTTAGTTTTTGAGATATAAGCCAAAAACTGCATTTGACCCTTATGTTCTATTTTTAGCCATGGCAGACATGTTTGTTGATGGATACAAACTTCAGATACAATTTATAAACAAGATACCCTAAGGAACATTTAGTTAAAGTTTGAATGTAATTAGCCCAGTAGTTTCAGAGGAGAAGATTTTTAATTGTTAGCAAACTTGATGAACAAATTGTGTAAAATTGTCTTTAAAGGGCAATAACTCCTTAAGGGGTCAATTGACAATTATGGTCATATTAACTTTTTTGTAGATCTTACTTTGCTGAACATTATTGCTGCTTACAGTTTATATATATCTATAATAATATTCAAAATAATAACAAAAAAAACTGCAAAATTTTGTTAAAACTACCAATTCGGTGGCAGCAACCCAACAATGGGTTGTTCGATTCGTCTGAAAATTTCAGAGCTGATAGATCTTGACCAATTGAACAATTTTACCCCGTGTCAGATTTGCTATAAAAGCTTTAGTTTTTGAGATATAAGCCAAAAACTGCATTTGACCCTTATGTTCTATTTTTAGCCATGGCGGCCATGTTTGTCGATGGATCAAAACTTCGGATACAATTTATAAACTAGATACCCTAAGGAACATTTAGTTAAAGTTTGAAGGTATTTGGCCCAATAGTTTCAGAGGAGAAGATTTTTGAAATAGTTTACGACGACAGACGACGACGACAGACGAAGGACGACGACGGATGCCAAGTGATGGCATAAGTTCACATGGGGCCCTTTGGGCCCCGGTGACCTAAAAATTTGATGAAAAAATACAAAGGAAATAAGCTCTGAAGCATTAGAACAATTGTGATGAAAATCTTATATTTGACTACCGAATACAGGCTTGTATAGTCCACCCTATTTTGTTCCAAAAGTAAGATTGCTAGGCAGGGGTGCATATTTTAAAGTACTATAAGAAAGGAATAAGAGAAAAACTCGATTTTGCGAGGTTTGTTTGCATTCCACTATGTTTGTTATTGAAATTTTAGAGGGTGCCCCTTATTTATTTTCCAAACTAATAATTATTTACCTAATCCATATAAATATGCAATTTTAATTCAAAATCCAATATTAACTGATAAATATCAAAATAAAATGCTTCATTACAAATTTCTCATTTCTTTTCAAAGCATTGCATAACACAAACTGGAATCCACTTGTATTTCACTGAATGAAAAAAGTGTACAAGTCAGAGGGAGCCAGCTTATTCATAACGATGCATACTCTACAAAATGTAATTGGTTATTTTTTCTGTTTTGGTGTTTCATAATGACGCATGTGTTTTGCTTTAGCTAAAGATCCTTCAAACATTAATTTGATGGATATATTTTACTAAAGGACAAACTGTTTTACTTTCCAAGTGGTATTCTAGTGATATTTATTAAGTATGGATTTTCTGCACAGTCTGCTATTCATACTTCTAGTTAATGTCAAACACAACTTTCCTTATTGGTTGTTTTGTGATTTTGACTTATTTTAACACTCTTGAAGTGTTGTAGAATCATTTACAAGCATTTTCAGCTTCTATTTGATGATGGAAAACAGGATTTTCCATGAAAATACCACAAATGATCACACATGATTTGAAATTACGGGAGTTTCATTAGACATTTCCAACCAGTTACAAAAAGATTTTTTCCTGAATTCTCGTGGCGAAAAGGGGGTGCGGACAATGTACCAGTGTGGACTTTACGAGGCTGATTATGGTAATTTTTGCCTAAATTTTAATGGTTTTTTATTCAAACTACGTAGCCACATGCAAGGACCATCATAAAGTTTTGTTAGGATGTGTATCTGACCTACATTTATCTTAATAACAATTTTCTTTTGGTCCAAGCTGTGCTCAACATTTTTCAGATGGAAATTTACTGTTTAAATACAAATATATGCGTATAAACAGGCAATTTGGCTAAAAACTTGTAAAATATCATACTTTTGAAGCTATCAACATTATTTAAACAAGCAGCAGTCAATCAAAGTGTCAAGTCTATCTTAATTTGCTAATTTAATATCCCAAGGTAGGTTTTTACCTTCGTGACCATACTCCTTTATAGTATGGTATAATTTGCATAAAAAGATAAACAAGAATGCCTGCCAGTCATGCTATCATACCTTCCCAGGTAATTCAAAGTATATTAAAGAACCTTTGTGAGCACACTCACATACCCCACGCCCCCACATTGACACTGAGCAAACAAAATCTCACGAGATGCCTGAGTGTCGCAGACTCATAACTCCTTACAAAAGTCAATTGATAATAATTTCTTGTGGATATGCACATTTACATGTTATGTCCTTTTTATCTACAAAGTTTCATGAAATTCTGTGGTGTGGTTTCAGAGGAGTTGCGATGACAAGAACAGGACTGACAGACTGTAGTAAATTGAGGCCAATAAGTTCAAAGGGGCATAATATAACTCCTAGAAAAAAAATTGAATCATAATTTCCTGTCGATATGCACATCTACATAGTATGTCCTTATTATCTACAAAGTTTCATGAAGTTCTGTTATGTGGTTTCAGAGGAGTTGCGATGACAAGAACAGGACTGACGGACTGTAGTATATTGAGGCCAATAAGTTCAAAGGTACGTAAGATAACTCCTAGAAAAAAAATTGAATCATAATTTCCTGTCGATATGCACATCTACATAGTATGTCCTTATTATCTACAAAGTTTCATGAAATTCTGTTGTGTGGTTTCAGAGGAGTTGCGATTACAAACTGTGCAGTATATTGAGGCCAATAAGTGCAAATGGGCATAACTCCTAGAAAAACAAGCATCCTGAGAGTATTGCATGGAAATACATAGTCCCCTACTGGGTAAAAATTCATTTTACTGGAACAAAATGCTAACTTGTTCTATAACTTGTCACGGTGTAAACAAAAAGTAAATATCATGTCAATATCTTCAAGCATGACTAAAAAACAGTGTGGAAAACTGATTATATGAGTGAAAAAAACATTAGATATGATTAATAGTTCTTTGAAATTAGATATGATGTAATAAAGTGTATATCTATTTTCAAATTATAATTAAATATAATTAATAGTTCCAAATATTTTTTCTTTCATTTGTCACAAACTAATATAGATTTGTAACTTATCTATAAAATGTCAACAACTTTTATCTACACAATGTAATGTATTGAAATATATACATTAATTAAAATAGATTATTATCTAATTAAAGGATTTCTCTTCATAATTTTTTTTTATACATTGTATATATATAGCATTCAGAAAATTAGTTTATACTAAATAACAAACAAACCTGCCAAAAAATTCTTCAAATAATTTAACAAAGAATGTCTTTTAAAAAGTGAGTTATCTCCCTTTGTACAGAAATATGGTTTGACATAGTACTTTAACATTAGATATGGTCCAGAGTTATGGACTAAATCATCAGACTGGAACAAAATTTGAACTTGATCTATAACTTGTCATGATAAAACTATATACCAAATATCAAATCAATATCTTCAAGAACGAAGAAAAAAAGTGTGGAAAGCTGATTTGCCGGATTGACAGATGGACAGACAGACAGACAGACGGAGTGCAAACCTAAAGTCACCTCCGACTTCGTCGGTAGGGGACTAAAAACTGAATCAAAATTTCCTGTCGATATGCAAATCTACATAGTATGTCCTTATTATCTACAAAGTTTCATGAATTTCTGTTGTGTGGTTTCAGAGGAGTTGCGATGACAAGAACAGGAATGACTGATGGACAGACAGACAGACGGACGGACAGACGGACGGGTCAAAAACATTATACCCGGCGCAATAATAAAGCGTGGGGTATAAAAATAAGCAGGAAATAGGTGTCTGACAGATCACAGACATGTCAAAATGTGTTACTGTTGAGCTGCTGACCAAATATGAAGTCATTCTGTTGATAGGAAATGGAGAAATATTTTACCAAATTTTTTGCAACAGAAAGTAGGCATCTGACATGTCCAAAAAGTGCTCACAAATTTCAACTCATCTTTGTCAAGCTGCTGACCAAATATGAAGTTATTTTGTTCTGACAAAATACTGACACCAATATTTGTTGGACAAACAGGAGGAGGAACTGACAGACAAGATGATTGCAATATAGCCCCACTTGTAGAGTTGGGGTGTTATATGAGAATCTCTAGACCTTGTGATTATTATTTTGATCAAAATTTTAAATACTTTATCAGAGATGATTCTGCACAATAAAATTAGAAATAAAATTAGAAATGGTTGGTATAATAAAGAAAATATAAAGGAAAAATGTCGATTACCGCTGCGGAATCAGCTAAAAACAGAAAAGAATCGCCTCTATTTTATAGCCATGTCCTTTTCAGATTCTGTGATATAATATTATTTCTTGGGTACCAATTTTTCACAGATTTCATGGGAAAAGATGAACTGCAAATTCAAATACTCAAGTGAATACCATATTTCTATAGGTTTGTAAGCAGAATTGGTGACAACCACTTATTTAAGTATCCACGAAAAAAATACAATTTTTCATCATTTCATAAAAATTGATGACCAGGAAAATGAATGAATACACAATACTGTAAATGCATTATTGAGGAGCACAGCACAGTAAAGTCTCCATAACTACCCCTTTCAAGCAAGACTATTCCTGTAATAAGACCATTTTCTTCAAATTAGAATACCATATAAGTGGTCATTTTCCAGTTTTGGGCCCAAGAAGGGACAGCAAAATATTTGCTGTGTTCCTCATTGCATTTCTCAGCCTTGTACAATGGCTGTAAACGAACAATGAAATATTTGTGTATGGTAAATTTTTTAGGTAAAATGCCAACGACAAACAAAGAGAAAATTAGATACAAACAAAAACTTCCCAATATATGGCGTTTATTTCTTTGAAAGCAACCTCTCATTTAAGGACACTCATTTCTAATTATTTTGCATTGTCTACTTTGCTGGCTTTTCTAAATGACAAACTTCATGAAAAGATATGCTGGGAGGGGGGTTAAGGACAAGTGGGGGAGGGAGACTGTTGATGAGGGTAAAAGATGGTTAAAGCTCTATCCTACCATTGATGAATTTTTTAAATATGTCTTATAACCATTTGCTCAGAACAATCTGAGTAAACATGACCACTCACAAATAAACCTGTGCAATCCAATGTATTGTAATGATATAATAAACTTATTCTGTACCTGTTCTGTAAATTGATCTTTACAAGCCATTCGGATCCTCTCTGCAGTAGCAGGGCTATGTAGGGTAAAATTGATGTCTTGTTTTGAATCAACTCTAGCTGATCTAATAGCATCTTTGACGGCAAAAAATACAGCTGCTGATAAAAATAATGGTGGTTCTCCAATGGCCTGGAAAATATAGAATTTGACAAAAATACATTGTCAAATTAAGAATATTAAAAACATATTTATCATGCCTACATTTCAATTCTCACAGATTTGTTTGTTTATAGTTTAAGAACAACAGACCAAAACAAAAAAACTTAACCATGATCACTGAACCATGTATAATCACTGAACCATGAAAATGAGGTCAAGGTCAGATGACACCTGCCAGTTGGACATGTACACCTTACAATCATTCCATACACCAAATATAGTAGAACTTAACCTTGTTCACTGATCCATGAAATGAGGTTGAGGTCAAGTGTAAACTGTCTGACAGGCATGAGTACCTTGCAAGGTACGCACATACCAAATAAAGTTATCTTATTACTCATAATAAGAGAGAAATTAAGAATAATAAAAATGTTAACTTTTTTTTCAAGTAGTCACAGAATCATGAAAAATGAGGTCAAGGATAATGGACATATGACAGACAGAAACTTCATAACTGTTCATAACTGTTCCATTATCACTGAACTAGTATACATATTTGTTTAGGGGCCAGCTGAAGGACGCCTCCGGGTGCGGGAGTTTCTCGCTGCATTGAAGACCCATTGGTGACCTTCGGCTGTTGTCTACTCTATGGTCGGGTTGTTGTCTCTTTGACACATTCCCCATTTCCATTCTCAATTTTATAACATAAGGCATCTACCGTTCCTACTCGCTTATTAGTCGGAAAATTGGGAGTAAAATTCATAATCCAGAGAGGGGGACCGACTAATAGACGAGATCTAGCGACCAGAGGAAAAATCCAAGCTTGAGAAAAGTGGAGTCAGGAGTGAATTTCCTGGTCAAAACTACGTTTTTGATTGCCAAACCTACATAAATCAATAAATAAAAAGTTTTTGTTGAAAATAAATGACTACAATACTGTCTTTGTGTTTTATTTATTCTTTGGTAAACATTTTCTGCAAATTCGTGTTGAAATTCTACTGTTTCCGGTTTGTGTTTTGATTTTCATGGTCACATGGTTTTCCTATAAACCCAAAAGAAGAGCCAAGAACCAAAAATGAAAAGGAGATAACAATGTACCAAATATGTGAAAGGATGTTTTCAGCGGAGTTATTGTGTCATTATTGTGATATCATGATATCAATTCAATGCTTATAAATCATATAATAATCAAAAAATAATTTTAAGATTCATTCCCAAAATCAAAATATTATTCATTAAAGTGTCTCAGGTAAACAAAAATTACAAAATTGATTGACAAGCCAATATAATCCATTGATAACCCCAATTAAGAGACAAAGAGTTGTATTTACTAAAGGTGTGAAAACTATCAGTGATAGGTAAACAGATGACACTAATGAGTTGGAGTTAGTTATTTTAATATATTGATTAGCTTCACTTAATTTTTTTAATCCTTTAATCATCACAATATAATAAGAATTATGAAGTGTACATGCTCATTTAACACCGAGTTATGTATGCTGTGAAAAATATTTTCATCAAGTGTTGATTGACTTTAAATTTTTCAGGTTCATATTGGTTTATTTTCGCTTTTCTCAAACAATAGGTTGTTAGTCATACCCTACAAAATCATTGATGCATTATGTAAACAACACATGGCTAATCAAACATTTGAACAGTGAACAAAACAAGAGAAATGAATACATCTTTATTATTAACAGAATATAAATTATCATGATGAGCATCAACTAAATTCAAACCAAACAAACATTAATGCAGAAATGAATATTATTCCTCGATTTGCATAGGTTTTACCGGCGTTCAGTTACTGTCAGCTGAAAAAAAAATGCCCAAATTTTGTCCGACTTATACGAGGGTCAAGACTAAATCCTTAGAATTTGGAGCTGAAAAGGGCACCCGACTTATAGTAGGATCGACTATTAGGCGAGTTTCTACGGTATATACAAAGCACTTTTCAACCAATTTTGTTGTGATTATTTTTTCGTATTTTTCTATCTTTATTCTTGTATTTATATAAGGAAAGATCCAAGTTTGACATATTCTTGACTAATCATATTGGTTTCATTCATATATAAAAGCTGCAAAAATAAATCACTTGCAAAACTTATTGGTTTATAGCATATTGCCTTAACTTAAAGTAGATTAACACACCTTGGAAGAATATACTGCTCTTTGATTGATACTGCCTTTGAGTAGAGATACATTAAATTCTACTGGAATATCTCCAAAGCCTGGTATCTTGTAGTTTGATGGGCCTCTGGTAAACAGGAAACCATCAGGTGATATCTTCTGTTGTTCTAGTAACATCATACCATAGCCCTATTCAAAAGTACATGAAAATCCTTGTCATTTAGATAAATTTGGTGTTGATTGCAAGGCCATCGGTCAAAAAACTTAACTCAGTACTTGAAGTACAAAATTTGTGCTCCAAAGTCCAAATCAAGTACTTTGATTAGTTAAATTAATTGTGCTTAAATTTTTCATGTCTGCAACTCCAGATCTTTGATTTTCTCTTGTGAGTTATTCATTACTTTATCAGGCCTAGAACAATTTAGCTTGACTTTTTTGTAGACACTTGTCCATTGTTTAATTCCATTCACAAATTTTTAAGACTTAGGATGAATCAGGATTGCATCCGAAAAGACTCGTTTATTACCATCACATTTAATTTGATTTTGATTTTCTGTGTTTTAACGCCACTTGTAAGCATCGCTTTTGGGCTATTTCTTAACAGCCAGTTTTATTGGTGGAGGAAGTCGGAGAAAACCACCGACCTTTGATAGGAAAACTGACAATCCTAGTCAATTAAGATTGGAGTCGAGTGCACCCGCACGAGCGGGGTTCGAACTCACAACCTCAGTGTTGACTGGCTAGTGATTACAGTAGTAACTACTTAGACCACTCGGCCACCGAGGCCCCTCCATCACATTTAAAGGTATATGTTTGAGGTTGTCTATATTTTATAGTTTAAGTTTTAGTACTTTGGATATCATTATAATATATAGCCTGTCATATGGTATAGACATCTGTCTGTTTTTGAAGTTTTTTTTTTTTACCTGTGATGTCTTTTTATGTTTTTTCGTTGTTTGGTTTTATATAAAAAATCTCTTTACATTCCAACATATTTCTGATCTTATTATGAATTGAAAGATAGCTTTCATTGAATGCTTAACAAAATTTATAAAAAATATTATTTGAAACAAAATAAATAAGATGACATACCTGCATAAAGCCTCCTTCAATCTGGCCTATGTCTATAGCAGGGTTCAAACTACAACCAACGTCCATAACAATATCTGTTCTTAGTACCTGTTACAAAAAAGATCACTTTTAAATTTTTGTAATACACTTACTGATTATCTGCCCTTCTTTCAAATTCAATGTAGAAGTTCAGTATAATTGCCTTAGTGATGATAATCGTAAATGTAATGCAGTTTTAAACTAGTAAAATCTCTGTTATTTACATAGATAAAATCAAACAAATCAACATTCAGGTTTTTTTATGACACTGCATGCTATTTACCTATGATGTCCAATGTAAATCTATATTCCATTTGTGGTTGCCATATTGGATTCAGAATAGGATGAAATTTTGTTGATTCTCATGATTCCTTGTGCAAATCAACTACACTATGAGGTATTTTTAATTCTTTTTTTTTTTGGTATAAATTTAGGAGGTACAGAACATCTAAGGGAGTTTACTCTTTAAAAAATAGCTGAACGTTTTAAATCACATACTATTAGTAAAGAGAAATCAAGCTTCTCAATGATCCAAATTAGTGTTTGACAAATTGCTGGTTCAAATTTCTTGAAATTTTTTTTATTTTTGCCGACAAGTCAATATAAATATTTGTCAAAATTTTATGAAATTAAACGAGACAAAATCTTTTTGATTCAAAGTGTTCAGTACTCCCTTAAAATTGATAGAAGATGATTAATTTTATTCTTACCTGGTGGTCTCCAGTTAAACAATCAATTTCAACTTCTGAACAACTGGCACCAAAAGTGAAATAATCAAATGGTCGTCCTTCCTGTTTCTCAAAATCAAATCCTGTTATACCAGGTGTTCTGTGAACAAATAAAAACCATATACTCAATTAATGGATAAACAAAGTTTCTTGAATGAAACCTACTTAATGTGTGAGTAAAAAAAAAATTTTTTTTTAACTATTTTGATTTTTTCCAACTGGTTAAGATTTTTTTTCTCATTCTGAATCTTATGCTGACTTTAAGCATGGCAAAATCCAAAATAAAAGGATTATGTTCAGCTAGGCCCTAATATAGCCAATATTTTTTAGCCAATATCTTTAATTAGGATTCATTGACCAATAAATATCACAATGAATCAAAGCTATTAGCATTTTTTCTTGACATCACAAATAGCACAAATTTGAGTTTTCAATGAATAACACGCTTGATTCCAATCGTAATCTTTCCGTCAAAGTGTTTGGTTTTAGGTGACGTCATTTGTGTGTTTGTTGGGCATAAAATCTACGTCAGTTCGTTGAGCCAACGGATGAATATTCTAATGGTGATAACTTCCTCATGACTGCTTCGATAACTGTTTTTAAATGATAAAATTAATATATATTTCTTAAGGCAGGGTTGGATTATGTACATAAGAATAAAGACGGGTGTTTGAAAAATGTCAAGCAGTCACAATTACTTTATCAGTTCAAAGATGCAGGGATCCAGTTAGCCCATAAAATGTGTAAATGACTTGAGAAATCAGCCTATAGTAAAAGAGTATTTCTGGTAATAGAAATGATATGGATCAAACGTATTCAATTAAAACAGATCAATTTCAATTTTGGACTGGAAACATATAGCAGAAGTGTGACAAAGAAGATCTTGTATCATTATATTAGTTATAACAAATTACATTTTTGCCCTGCATATTTAGTTTGTCTGAGCTCTGTTTCCTAGGCCTAAATTTGGTCGAAATCCAAAGGATTTTGTCAACTTTTACCAAAATCAATTTTTTTGCTTATTTGTGGTATACATGTCAATGCTTTGAAAGACATGACAAAAATAGTCTATTTCACTTTCTTACATGTTTATTCATCAACTTAAACATTTTATTATCTTTAACCAATGAACTTAATATTTGGGGCCAAATAGAACCCTTACTGAACTAGCTCCTTTAGATATACACTTACTTATAAAATCCTGTGGATGATAAACTCACTCTGTTAAAGTAGGCTGAATTCACCTGGAAAATTACAGGTAAAAATAAAAATTAAAAAAAATGATCAATGAAGCATATACCGATTGATTGATTGATTGATTGGTGTTTAACGCCACTTTCAACACTATTGTGCTATTTCGTGGTGGTCAGTTTTTATTGGTGGAGGAAGCCAGAGTGCCCAGAGAGAACCACCAACCTTCGGTAGGAAAACTGACAATCCTTATTGAATTAATATTGGAGTCGAGTGCACCTGGCACGTGCAGGATTCGAACTCACAACCTCAGTGTTGACTGGCTAGTGATACAGTAGTTTGACTACTTAGACCACTCGGCCATCTAGGCCCCAAGCGTATACCGATACCATGGAAGAAATGAAAAGCCACAAACAGAAAAAGGACAGATAACACTGTAAAAGAAAATGTACAAAAATACACATTTGTGGTTGAACTCATGTGCTCTGAAAGGTTAGACAATTCTTGCTGCACTAGTGGTAACTATTATTGTGTTGCTCAAGGCAAAGCCTTCTATCGTTTTATACACACAGAATTTGAAGCATTGCAAATCATTCATAATCATTAATTGGAAGATGGACCTAATTATTTCCCCTATTACTTCAATGCAATTTTATCATAATTGAGGGGCAGATTTTTATTCCCTAGATTAGACTGCGAAATTTCAATTACTTTGTCATACAAGTAGACCCCCGCTATGGTTTCTTGGAGAATTCTTGAAGGGTCATGGCCGGCATTTAAGAGAGCAATACTATTTTGAGTATAAATAGGGTAATCTTATTAACTTCCTGGTTAAAATCAAAAGTAAAATTTGAACCATCATCCACCCTATACGTTTCAGAATCACTTAAAAATTAACAGAAGTTGCAAGTTTAATGAATACCCTTTGGATATACTACAAATTTAAGCATCTTTACATAATTTTCATCTCGGTACAATACCAAATTGTCTATATTATTTATCTTGAATTTAATTAATAAAACACTAGATAGCTGTTTCAAGTTTTCATTTGCATGTTTTCTTGATCAAAAACAAATGTCTTTTGATGTTTATCATAACAACCTGTCTTCAAACTTGACTTTATCACCCGGTAAAAACAAAAATTAAATTGAAAATAAGTCCGGGTCAAACTTTTATAATATTGTCCAGTCTGTTTGTTTTGATGTCCCAAACTTATAGTACCGGGGTAAGTGATTTCAGAAGAGCTGAGAAGAATGATAAAGACAAAAGAAAATACAATAAAACAACTTACCCAATCCTCCCATGACCCTTTAGGGTTTGCATTGATATAGGGTTCTATTCTTTCTAAGATTGTCTGGCAGGCAGCCTAAAATTGTAAAATAGGAGAAACTTACGGTAAATTATATAACAAATACTGTGGATTCATTTATTTTCGTGGGTACCAATTTTCGTGGTTTTGCCAAAATCTGCATACAACCCTAAAGAAAACTTGCAGTTCGTTGAACATTTTAATTTGTGGTTCATCTGTATCCACGAAATACACGAAAATTGGTATCCAACGAATAATAATGAATCCACAGTACCACAAAAATACTGAACAGATTATACTTAATTTTCATATTGTAACAGATCAGAAATATTTCTTTCAAACATAGGTACATGTACACACATAATATTTACACTTTTTTCCATTAAGATTAAAGCAGTTTATGTATACAATATTTCGTACAAACATCAGATCTTTTTACTCGACTTGCAAAACAAGAAAAACATGAAACAAATAACCACATATGCATACACATTTTTGTTTAAGGGCCAGCTGAAGACGGCCTCTGGGTGCGGGATTTTCTCACTGTGTTGAAGACCCATTGGTGACCTTGGGCTGTTTTATGCTCTTTGGTCGGGTTGTTGTCTCTTTGACACATTTCCCATTTCCATTCTCAATTTTATTACATTTACCAGTCTTCAGAAGCAGTGTTTACTTACTGGTAAAGCATTAAAAATTCAGTCAATCGATTACTTGCCCATACAAGTTTAAAGGATTATTATTTGCAAAATTTTGGAGAAATCTCCTTTGATTGAAATTCAACAAGAATGAACTAAAATAGGGCTTTCTTTGGTCTATTCCCTTAACATGCTTAGGCACATGTACATGCTAGTTTAAAGGGAAACTTCACGATTATTGACATATCATCTTAATATGTTCATAATAACATTAATAACATATTCACCAAGTTTTATCTTTATATAAATACAAATAAAGAAGAAAATTGAAAATTATCCATTTCATTTATTGAAATTTACCAGTCTATTGTGACATATTTTTAGTCTGGGACATGCCAGGAGTGAAATTAATTTCATTTAAAGTCTTGTTCCCTAATTATTTTTAATATAATTTAAAGCGATGACTGTTTTGTAAAGCTTATAACCAACTTAAAGTAAGAAGGTAAAACAAACAGACCTACAACTTTTTTCATATTCATTAGTTATAATTCCTATGGTAAAGGCCGAATCAAATTTCTGATAGTTTATATGTTGAATTTGCTCAAAGTGGATCGTATTATAATGATTTTCTATGCGATATTTTTTAGACGTATATGTTACACAAATATATATAACTGATACTGTGGTGTCAGACAATATATGTACAAGTTCTGACATTTTAATTCTAGCAAACATATCCCCTCTTGGATTGTGTAAATATGTGTATTATTCTCTGACAATACCATGTGAAGGCGTGGTTAATTCACAGTAATCAATATACAGACTGTCTGAAATCTATTCTTTTGATCTTCACCTGAGTGCATTTTAGCCTCAAGTGTTAACCGTTGTAGGTGAGAATAACATCTCGGATGGGTTATAAGACAGAAGTGCCAGTTTAATACACAAATATTTGAACATTCTCTTACTTCAATGGAAACGCTCTAATCCAATTATTTGAAACCTTGCTATATATAAAAACTTGATTTATATGACCTAAGGGTGTTAAAGAAAAATTCAGAAACTATCTTAGGTCAACTTTGCCTAATTAAAATGAAACCAAAAACAAAAGACAAAATAAAATTAAATATTATTTCGAATCTTTGTGTATTGAAATTGTGATGCGTTGTGACGTGTCCGTCTGTTATAAGTCACCTAAAGTCAAGTTTTCTTTTCAAAATATCAATGTTGATCTCAATAATAGAATAAGTTATCAACACAAGCTTATTTTATAATAAAGTTTCATTTACAGCTAAATTTTTACGAAATCAATTCGTGATCAAATGGCGCCAATAGACTATTTTCATATTAATGACTTTTGACTCCGGATTATATAATTTTTCGACAGGTTACCTTTTCTGTGGTAAGACATCTTGGTACTTGGCCAAGTAAGAGCAACCAATATAAGTAAAATTAAGCATATAATCGGTGTAATTTGAGGGGAAAGTTTACTACTTTCAGATGATTTTGTCGTGTAAAGAAAATATGAAGCAGTTAATTATTTCCCAAATATTGTACCAATAGAAATCTTGATTTTACTTCTTTACGTTGCTCTTACTTGACTTGGTACAGGTTGTTCTACCACAGAGAAGGTAACCTGTTGAAAAAATATAAACTTCGGAGTCAAAAGTCGGTAATATGAAAATAGTCTATTAATCTCTTCAGATTAACTCACATTTTGTTTCCATATGACTAGAGTGTATTTTTTATAATGTCGCTAGAATTGTCTCATACTATCATAGCTAAAAATATCTAGTTCAGAGAGTGAAAGTAATGAGGTCTCCAGTTCCTCAAGTGAAGAAGATTTCGATAAGAAATATAGCTAGTCACATAAATGATATTAACAATAAAATGTGAAATAAGTTAGTATGTTTTTTTAAATTATCACGCATTAAAAACAAAAATAGTTTATTATGCTTTAACAATTGCAAAGAAAACAAGCTTTCAAATTGGCTTCATGATGCCCTCGTACGATTAAAATTTTATAAATCTCCATTGAACAATGGTAATAAAAAAAATTTTGTACTTTAAATGAATAGATGTAATAAAAAGATCAAGAAGTTTCTCTTATCATATAAGATTTGATTTTGATTTTGATTTTTGGTGTTTTAACGCCACTTTTAAGCACCGCTTTTGGGCTATTTCGTGGCGGCCAGTTTTTATTGGTGGAGGAAGCCGGAGTGCCCGGAGAAAACCACTGACCTTCGATAGGAAAACTGACAATCCTAGTCAATTAAGATTGGAGTCAAGTGCACCAGCACGAGCGGGGTTCGAACTCACAACCTCAGTGTTGACTGGATAGTGATTCCAGTAGTAACTACTTAAACCACTCGGCCACCGAGGCCCTCATTTATCATATAAGATATATAATATATATTTTTAAACAAAAGAACTAGTTGTGATGTTTCAATCAGTGACTTTCTATCTGTTTACCTTATGTTGACTTTCTGACATTTGTGTGCAATAGATATATCTTTCTGCGCTCTTATGTCAAATAATAGTATCAATATGTTGACCGAAATTTGTCATAAGAAGTTCAAAATGTCAATATTTATTTATATCGAGATTATAACTTATTTTTTCCAATTTTAATCGTAAGAAAATGCATAAAATCTATTCTTTTCATTTCTATTTTCAGCTGGTTCATTTCATTACCAAAATAATTTTCTTTCTTTAAACATGTCGTTCATAAACAGTGTGTTAATTAAATGATATGCGCTCAATTTGATATGTGTATGATTTCATGAGGGTCTGGATGGGGTCCTTCATTTCTCTATTTTTTTTATTTTTTAGGCCATTTTTCTCTATTCTTTATATTTTTTGCCCATTATTCTCTATTCTTTATATTTTAGCACCTCATTATTCTCTATTCTTTTTTTTATTGGTCCATTTTTCTTTATATTTTTTGCCCATTATTCTAGTAAACCCCCATCCACACCCTCTTTCATATCTTGCATTTTACTATCAGTCGGGATAAAAAGTTGTACACAGGATGTACATGTATATTACACCTGACATCATTTGGTACGGCATGCTTTATAATTTTTATCTGTGCACATCTGGTTCACTCAGCAGGGAAGCAATGCATGTATATCCACATTGCATAATATTGAATTTGTAGGTCGCAAGGAAGTCGTTAGAATACCTGAATGTGGCATTTTTACACATCATCTGGCAATAATTTTTTAAGCCATGCTGATTTATCAAATAAGGGATGAACCCAGAATGAATAAAAATAATGATTGTATGCATATTTCTTACGAATAATAAATTTTTCATTTTTTTTTGCGGAGTTTCCTTTCAATGATCCTGCTGCTTAAAGTAACCAACTAATTTTTAACAACAAACACATCTTTTTGTTACACAAAATACTACTGTTAGCAATTTTCTAGGCACACAGCTTAAATGTAAAATCCTGTTTTGTTAATTGTCATATTAATTGGAGAAGTAATTTGGCAAATGAAAATACCCAAAGTATTAACTCTGATGTCAATGTGGGCCAAAACCGGTATGCATGAAAAGTAGGTCAAATTGATCTACTTGTACCCAATAGCTGACCTATTAATTCATGCATGTAAATCTTTTTTTTGTTTGTTAGAGCTTGTTTTCGTGAGCCTTACTTTTGCAGCCATTCAACAAATATCAAGCTAGAGTTTGTTTCCATTACCTTTACAGCCATTTCATTCAGATGAGAGCTGGAGCTAGAGCTTGCAGCCATTAGTCTAAGCTTTACAACCATTCCGATCAGATGAGAACTGGAGCTAGAGCTTGTTGCCATTAGCCCAACCTTTTCAGCCATTCCATTCAGATTAGAGCTAGAACTGGTTGCCATTAGCCTTACCTTTACAGATCATTCATTCAGATGAAAGCTAGAGCTGGAGCTTGAGGTTGTTGCCATTAGCCTTATCTTTACAACCATTCCATTGAGGTAAGAGTTAGAGCTGATTGTCATTAACCCTACCCTAATAATACCAATCATTCCATACAGATTAGAGCTAGAGCTAGTTGTCATAAGCCTTACCTCTATAGCCATTCCATTCTGATCCAAGCTTAACCTTAACTTTACAGCCATTCTATTTGGATCAGAGCCAGAGCTGGTTGCCAATAACCTTACCTTTACAGCCATTCCATTAAGATCAGAGCTTGCACTAGCTGCTGTGGCGGAAGTATTAGGAACAGTGTTAGTACTAGTCTCACTGATGTGTATTTTTGAAGTTGGAATTTTCAGAACTCTACTAGCAACCTACAATATAAACAAATAATACAATGTATGAGGATATTGTTAAATTTATTAGTCAAGTTACATCTTTAAGCAATCAAGGACTATTACTCCATAAAATTATTTACAGTTGTATTTTGTTATTTTTCTGTTGTCTGTTGTTTTTGATAGCTCACATTAGTATCTTCCACTTTTTATCTACTGCTTTTTACATGCATCTAGTTAGTTACAACATCAATGATAGAAGGCAAAATTATCAAGCAGCTGGTAAGCATTTTAGTGAAATGTGGAAAGTTGAAAATATCATGTTCCATGTTCCAGACTGTTGAACCTTATCAAAGGAAATGCCCATATCATTTTTGCATCAAGTGCTTTCCCCTTCTCTGTACCTCTTTCTTACATGCTACCTCCTATCAAACCTAAACAGATGTTCCTGTATGAATGTGCAGCTGTTTTCACAATTCTTTTCCTTAATTGAAGCTACTAATAAAATATACCTGTATCATTTTAGTGTGAAGTCCTTGTCCCATTTCAACACCTCCATGAGTGACCAATACTGACCCATCTCTGTACACCATAACTAAAGCCCCTGCCTGTAACACACAAAACAATATCACTACTGTTTTAACATGTCCAAAAAATGACCAAACAAGAACAGAAATTTTCATGTATAAAATTCTACCTCTCACAATTTTCTTCTTATAACAAGGAATTATTTGAATCTGGAATAATCATGAATTCTGGAAAATTGATAAGAAAAGCATGATGAAAACTAGCCCAACTAAATAGAGTTTGCCATGTGCCCATGGCTAAGGTTAATTTACATTCACTGATATTTCAGTATGAACTAACTAACCCCGGCCCCTTAGCCAAATAATTCCTTGTTTTACTGTTTAATTACAAATTAAATAAATTGCTTCGCTGAGTGCAGCTGGATACGACCACAGAGGTCAAACCCTGAACAGTTGGGGCAAAAATGGACACAATATTCGCACTTGATACAGGTCTGAATTTGGATTGTAATTGAATATTTGACACATAATAGGTTTCTGACACAGAATAACTGTAGTCAAAGAACTTAGAATTGGTTAAATGATTTGAATTTATATTCAATTTTTTGCTTTTGTGCAATACACTATGCTGTTGCAAATTGACCCCCCCCCCCTTTTTCTTTTTCCAAAAATTTTTTTTTAACCCCCCCCCCCCTTTTTTTAATTAAAAAAAAAAACATTTGAAGAAATTTTCTTTTTGATTTCTGAAATCTTGAGAAAAAATTGTCCCCCGTTCCCCACCCCCACCACCAATTTTTTTTAACCCCCCCCCCCAAAAAAAAAGACCTCAAGATATGGTCATAATCTCAATTCAAATTTCCATCATAAAAGTCTTAAAATAGAAAATAATGAATTACATAATCATGGCTAAAATTAATTTACCTTAATCAGCATTTTTAAAATCATTAAAATAGTAACTTCTAAAAATAAAATGACAGCTAATCACCTCGAGACAATACAACATTTCTTTATACATAATTTAAAAGCAGTGTAAGGGAGGTAATTCAAACACAACATTGAATTACCTCCCTTACACTGTAATTTGTCTTTAAGTAATTGTCCATTAACCAGGACATCCTTGTTTTTTCACTTTTTTGCCCCTTATTCCTAAATGGTCTGAGCCAAAAACCCCCAAAGCCAATCCTAACCATCCCTTTGCGGTATGGAAACTTGTGGTATAATTTCAGAGAGATCCATACATCGTTCCACAAGTTATTGTCTAGAAACTAGAAAAATGCTTATTTGGGCCCCTTTTTTGCCCCTAATTCCTAAACTGTTATGACCATAATTTTTTGCGGTCATATAAAAATGATCTGGATTCTTCATATATACAAATTTTTCGTTGATTGAGGAAAAATTGTTTTTTCTTGGATATTTGATTTTGTGGTTTGGCTTTTTCCAGTTGCTTTCCCTCAAATAGCAATAATATATTTTCCATTTTTCTTGTCTGTCGTTCAAAAATAGCAATAATAATAAGAGCACGTACACATTTCTACTGCTGGCCATGGATGATGTTAAAAATATCAGAAATTTCAGTCATTATATTCCACTGATCTACATAAATTTAAACATGTCAGTTTTTTTTAATTTATTTTGTGCCAATTGAAATTTTCAAAAAATACCAGCAAGTCTGACAGGAAGAAAAACACATACCTTCCAAATACAAGTTAAACAGCTACCATGTTTTATAAACAGTTTGAAGCCAAATTTTTACACAAAAAATATTCTTTTTTTCATTTCATTTAGAAAACTACATCAGTAGATAATGTTTTTTTTTTTTAATTTTCAACCAAAAAGTAATTCAAAACCAACAACTAACAAATGTCCCCTTAAATATTTTTCTGTGTTAGTTTTAAACATCAGACTATAAAAAGTTGGCAGCATGAAGATACAAAACAAAGGAAAGCATCGGTATGGTCTAATATCTGGTTTAAACAAACCTGATTTAAGAAAGTAGCTGTAAAAGCAATACCAAATTTTGTAGGAATCATACAGATCCCTCTTTTCTTCCATCGGTTTTCACTGTAAAGAGAGAGACAAAATAAGTCAGATTTTCTTCCATCAGTTTTCACTGTAAAGAGAGACAAAATAAGTCAGATTTTCTTCCATCGGTTTTCACTGTAAAGAGAGACAAAATAAGTCAGATTTTCTTCCATCAGTTTTCACTGTAAAGAGAGACAAAATAAATCAGATTGTTTCCATCAGTTTTCACTGTAAAGAGAGACAAAATAAGTCAGATTTTCTTCCATCGGTTTTCACTGTAAAGAGAGAGACAAAATAAGTCAGATTTTCTTCCATCGGTTTTCACTGTAAAGAGAGAGACAAAATAAGTCAGATTTTCTTCCATCGGTTTTCACTGTAAAGAGAGACAAAATAAGTCAGATTTTCTTCCATCGGTTTTCACTGTAAAGAGAGAGACAAAATAAGTCAGATTTTCTTCCATCGGTTTTCACTGTAAAGAGAGAGACAAAATAAGTCAGATTTTCCCAATGCATTTCTCTAAAAATGAATAATGATGCTAAAGTGACTAACTGGTTACTTCCATGGCATAGCGGAACATCAGTAGCAATGTTATCTGAGTAGGTCAACATCTACCTATTCATATCAGTATAGGCTATCATCACTATGACTGAACTGGTCCGCTCAGAATCAGAAAGAGACTTGTCCTAGTGGGAAAACTTTTTTTCTGGTAGACTATTACCTTATCAAATAACTATTCAGCTAATTAATTCCTATTTTCTAAAAGTTCAGCCGCAAATATTTCTTGCATATTCATGATAGAAGTGAATTAAACAATGAATTATTCAGGTAGTTTCAGTAAAGTAGGAAGACTCGAATGAAAAGATAATGGGTCAGTCACCTACAGGATCCCTAAAAACTTGTTGCTGGAGCTCTTAAATGTTCAGGCAATATGGCAGTTCTCCCCCAACCCCAAACAGAGGCTTTGGATATAAGGTTTGGATTCTGATTGGACCTTAGCATGTTAGAAATCCATCTAAGTGTGTTGGTCTTACTATCTCATGGTTCTTATTCATATACAACATCATGATAACTGTAAAATTGAGACATTAAACTGTAAATATTTATTAATCTTTTCATTTCTTGACACCTGCCATGTATTTTAGGTATAAATTACATACTACAAATATGAGGTGGCAAGGGGAGGGGGGTCCCTGATTCCCACTTCACTCCCCTATTCACAAAAACTTTTGTTAAATATGTTACATATATTCTAAGCTCCTTAATTTTTCAACCCCCATCATGACTATTCTACTCTCATTTCACTCCCCCACTTCCCCCATCCTTGTCCTTTCCTCAAATATGATCCTCTTACAACAGGAGAACATAGAAAACAATTAACTAGCTAACAACAAGATATCAATAATTCTTTTTTAAGATATTTTTGGTCTGTACAATTTGAAAAATTCTGATATGATTTATAAACATAAGAATGAGAAAATATAATGTAATATTAAACACTTATTCTTAAAACTTTAAATTCATGCATTTAAACGCAAATATTATATGATACACTTCATCCTAAAACAACTCACCTATTGAATATTTCCACATCTCTTTTTCTCTTTATAAATTCACTTCTGTCTTTGCATTCCTCCCAACATTTTTTTATGTTGCACTGTTCTATTACCTGTCCAAAGTGGGTCAGATCTCCTTCGTTGTACATGTTTAATTTACGAACCTGATAGTACAATAATTGATATATATTTACAAGTAATTTCATTTGGACTTGAAATTAAAACTTTAATTGTTTTAATTTATCTCAGATATAGTTTTGAAATTTGGGAACTTGATAGTAAAATAAATTATTAAAATTTAAGAAAGTTTTCATGATTTACTTATTTTAAAAGTAAATAAAACATTATCCTAATTGTATAATATATGTCAGATTGAGTTCTGAAATTTGAAAAAATATATCTATTTTAAAAGCTATATCAAATTGCATCGATGGAATAAACAAAATGTTCTCGACTTTATTAATGAACTTAATATTTAATTTTAAAAATAATAATTGATCATTTCATATATACTATTATAAGATTTTTCTATGCATTAATATATGATCGTTTCATGTAACATCATAGTACTATTTAAGAAATAATTCTTTCCTGCTATGCTCTATGCTCATTTTAACATGGGTAGGCATTATATTTGTCAATATCTTTGTACCGAGTGAAAGCGAGGTGTAAAATGTTGGCAAATATAATGCCTACCCATGTTAAAATGAGCATAGAGCATGGCATGATAGAATTATTTTGATTCTAATAGGAAAATTTAGAACTTTTAACAGGCTATTATTTGAACTTGGAATTATTTTTAATTATGGAATTTGCATTATTTCTTGTGCTTGAAATTTTTAATGAATTCCATGTTTATTCTGTATTATAATGTTCTGTGCGGCGCACAACACTTTCTATTACAAAGAAGATAGCAAATTTTCAATAGAATGTACTGTGCCACGCACAACACTATCTATACAAAATACATTGTGTGGAAAGTGTGATGCACCACTTAAAACATTATAATACAGAATAAACATGGAATTTATTAAAAATTTCAAACACATGAAATTATGCAAATTCCATAATTAAAAATAATTCCAAGTTCAAATAATAGCCTGTTATTTATACTTTGAAGCGACCTATACATGTTCGAAAGGCAGCCATTTAATTTGATGAAGCCAAAACGATATAGAAAATCCACAGTTTTACGATAAAAAATCAACAGTTACATGTAAACTTACTTTCAGAATGATTTAAACTAAAATCCTAGCAAGCAACACCAACACAAACGTCCATTTTGATCTCCGGTGTTGTTTAAAATACAACTGAGGTGAACTGACATTGCAATTTCAATTGTGACGTCAATCACGTGCAGCCCATGTTTATTGGAATTAGAACATGGCTTTGTTTCCAAAGCAAAAGAAGAACATCATTTCAGAATTCATGTTTTATAATAGAATTGATTCACAATCTTAAAATATCATTGCTAATGAAGGGCTGTTAGTGTGAAGCCAGTGCAGTATAGTAAAAATATTCTTACCATTTGATTCTATTTATTGACTTTCTGTTACATGAGAACTTTGAAAAAGTCAACAAATTATTTTCTAGAATACTATATACATAAAGTTTGACTTGACTTTGGTTTTAAAACTCCATCATTTTGTAATTTGAATATCTGAGGGTCGTAATGGGGGTACCTTTATGACAAAAAACGATAAAAAAAATCTTGCCAAATGACGCTAACAGTAATTTTTGGTGCATGACAATAAAATGTACATTTTCTTTATGACAATAAAAATATGGACTGATTTTGATGTTTCATGTTCTTTTTTTTCCCAAAATAACAGTAACCAATAATTATTTGAGAACTCTGACGAATCAGGATAAGGATATTTTGACGAAGCACAATAAAATTTTAACCAATATGATGCTAACGGTAGCTGAAAATGACTGTTTGAAGCCTGACGGTAAAAGGCATTCCTACCCTCATATCTGAGTATAACATATATCATTAATAAACTGCATATCATTTGTTAGATAGGATCTTAAGAACATTGACCTCACTGCACTACATAGTTTAACTTTCAGAAGTAGTGACAAAACCTGGAAAACAAAAAGAGCAAGCCAGTACCATAAGGATTTTGATAGCATTTCATGCAATCTTTACCCCAAAAAATACCTACCCGACTTGGGCAAAAATTTAGATAGGTAGCTACTTCATCTATGAATGTTTCTGCAACAAGCATTCCCTGTGGTCCACCAAAACCTCTGAATGCAGTATTTGACGGTATATTGGTCTTACACGTCCTGCCAACCGCTTTCAAATTGGCAATCTTATAGGCATTGTCTAAGTGATACAAACCTCGGTCTAATACCTTTGTCAAAAAGAATTGATATATGTTTGTATGATGGATAGTCTTGCAGAAAATTTCATATCTAGGCATTTTTGACTTCTATGATTCAATAGAAAATTAGATAGCAGCTTTTGCTTTGGATCCCTTTCAACAAATAGAAATAAAAATGAAAATGAAAATAAAAAAAAAACAAAAAAATAAATAAATAAAAATTAAAAAAATTAAAATTAAAATCAAAATTAAAATCAAATCAAAATTAAATTAAATCAAAATTAAACTCAAAATAATATAAAGGAAAAAAAAGCTCCAATACAAAAGATATACCAGTGAAGTCAATTATGCCTCTCCACTGTGAAAGTACTTGTACTTGTAAACACCAGTTTTCTTACAAATTCAAGGTTTAATGGGAAAAAAACTCTTGTTTTCTTTTTTTGATGAATGGAGAATGGAGAATTTGGTGGTTTTAGTAGACACAATTTTGACATTCACTATTAGTGGAAATGTTGGATATTCAATTTTGGTGGAAACAGAACAGTACAAGGTGAGTTTCTCACAAATAACAATTTCACAGTACCTGGGGTAAGTAATAAGATCTTAGTACCTTGGATTAGCTATAATATAAAAGTAAGAAGATGTGGTATGATTGCCAATTAATGAGACAACTCTCTGCAAGAGACCAAATAACACAGAAATTAACAACTATAAGTCACCGTACGGCCTTCAACATAGAGTACCTGAGGTTAGTAATAGGGTCATAGTACCTGAGGTTACTAATAAGGCCACATTACCTGAGGTAGGTAATAGGGTCATAGTACCCAAGGTTACTAATTAGGTCACAGTACCTCAGGTAAGTAATAGGGTCATAGTACCTGAGGTTACTAATAAGGTCACATTACCTATGGTAAGTAATAGGGTCATAGTACCCAAGGTTACTAATTAGGTCACAGTACCTTAGGTAAGTAATAGGGTCATAGTACCTGAGGTTACAAATAAGGTCACATTACCTAAGGTTAGTAATAAGGTTAAAGGAATTTTAAAATTTCTTTAATTGTGATGCTTATGTCAGTTGTAAAAAAATGGGTTTTACAGATTAATGTCATATAGCCAGGACTGTTTGGTGATAGGAGTAATACCACCATTGTTGTTCCCCTATTAGTCTTTGTTAAATTTCCACTTTTCAAAAAAATGTGCAGAATTTATCTTTGTTTCAAATAAAGAAAAACTTGGCATGAGTAAAGTTTTATCCTGTCCAGTACTACAGACACAAAATTTCACATAACATTTTATTGCATATAAGATAATAACCATCACTGGAAGTTAACCAATCAAATGTTCACCCCTTTTTTTCCTGTTTACAAGCTTTAGTAACCATGTAACCTCAAGTTTCCAAAATATTTTATAGAAACACTAAATAAAAAAAGAATGGTGCTTTCAAGATATATGTTTATGACTCAGAAATTTTTTACTGCAATGAAATGTAGGATTAATTTCCTACAACTGTCAAATTCAAGGGAATGTTTTTTTTTTGACTCTTTTTCGTATGCAACCAGATGTGACATACTATGATTTGGTGGTATTACACCTAAAGAAGACTTTTTTGTTAAATAAACTAAATGTGATTTTTTTCCTTTGCAATACTGGTTATTTCAAGCATAACTGTTAAGTTTTTTCCATAATCAATTCAATTGTTTGAGAAAAATCTAGTATAATGTAAGACGACGTCTACAGCGGTTCGAGCTAAATTTCTTCGAAAAATCCAAATCAAGCTGCATCATGATAGAATGTAGTGTGGACCAATAAATGATTAAATATTTATCTCATCTGCCTACAAACAGTTGAATATGATACAAAAATGACTCTAGGATGAAAAATACCACTAATGGACCTCTTTGTCTTCATTATAAGGTCCCTTTTGGTCCATTTATGCCTCTCATTTCCTCAAAATTTCAACTTTTTAGGCCAATAAATCCAAATATTAGGGTAACTTTCACACATTTATGCAAGAAATGTGATAATAAATGAGTGACTGAAGTATTCAAGCTGAATGAACTATCCATATAAAAGTTTACTGACTCCATGGAGGTTTCAATAAGTCCTTACGTAAAACTTAAATTCATGCTGCGCTCCACAGAGGGACATGAAATGCTTCCCTTTTAATGAATCATTTGTTGTTACTATTTCAAAAATAATTTCATTTACTTATAACTGTATATTTATTAAAGTATTACCTAGGAAAAAGTTTATATTACTAGTATAGCAAAATATAAGAAATAAGGAGAAAAAGTCAGAAAAAGCTCCCCAAAACACTGAGTATGGCTTGCTCTGTCTACTAAGGGAGCTACCATTTGATTTTTATAAGGGCTAGGATGAAAAATTTTGTCCTGCATTTTTTTTAGTTGTAATCTCTGTCCTGCCTTTTTATTTTTCACTCTATTCGGTCCTGCCTTTTTTTTTATTAGTTTATCCTGACTTTTTTTACATAAATTGTCATCCTGCCTTATTTTTTGCCACGTTGCTCATCCTCCCTTTTTTTTTTTAACTCAAAACTCCTGTCCTGCCTTTTTTTTCAAATTTCATCCTAGTCCCCCCATAAAAATCAAATGGTAGCTCCCAAATATTCATGGTATTTAAAAAGTCCTATTTCAAGGCAATTTTCTCTTAAAATGTGTCTACTTAAATGTTTAAAAATGCTATTTGTATATCTTAAGGCTGTTCAAATGAATTTGAATCCTAAATTTTACAGTGATGTTATTTACAGAGCCCGGAAATTAATTTATGATCCGGGTAAACTTATCAATCCTTAAAATAAACTTATTCTAAAAGGTTACCAATTCAACACTGTAATTAGATCTTTGAATATTGTTTTTATTGGTATAAATATTGATTTTATAATCAGTAAATTAAAACCATACTAAATAGTTTTGTTATACACATATGCACTTTAACGGTACTACAATCTGTCGATATCTTAATTTTGGCATTGCATAAGGTCATGTTTTTCTCTTGACTGTTAATGACGTCTTTACACTAAATCCATTGGATGTTGGATGTGTACTGATTGATATTTTAGTCTTAGATACATGATTTTTTTATTAGTTATTATAGGCTTTGAACTAGCTGTCAAAACTAAAACCTGCTGTAACAATCTTGATAGAAATAACAACTTACAAAAAACTGAATAACAAATAAGTTTTCAAAACGAGGAAAAAATAAGCTGTGGTGAAAGCATATTTTAATAGACTATAAAATGATTCATTTTAGCAGAGCTTAAATTTTGTGGTTTCTAGTGCATATCCTGATCGTGGGGTTATATTTTTGCTTTTAGTTGTCCATTATTCAAATCTTCCTCAAAGAACACATTCTTGGAAGGAGATATCTGCCGACTTTACAGGATCTACTTACCCTTCTGGAGCACTTTAATTATCACCCCAGGTTTTTGTTTGGGTCCGAGTTGCTCAGTCTTTAGTTTTCTAGGTTGTTTTTTGTAGACTATTGTTTGTCTTTTGGTCGTTTTTTGTTTTTCCCAAGGTATTGTCAGTTTGCCTTTCACTTATAAGTTTGAATATAAAACTCGGTGGATTGCAAAATTAGCAAAAATAAACCCCTGGCTAAAACTTTCCACTTTACAGTAATGAGTTAAAGATTGAGCTGTAAGCTGTAAGCTAAAGCCACACACTGTCTTCTGATACAATTTTACCTGCTCAGGTGTACAGTCAAGGAAACCAGACATTTCATCCATGAATGTTTCAGTAACCAGCATACTCTGAGTTGTTCCAAACCCTCGAAAAGCTGTATTTGATGGGATGTTAGTTTTACACACATAACCCATCAGTCTCACGTTCTCAATTTTGTAACAATTATCAAACACCAATAAGGCCTGTTCAAGCACCTATAGCAAAAAAGAGATAAGCGTAACACCTTACTCTTTAATCGCTAACCAAATTGGGGAAAGTTGGGATGGTCTTTTCTCATAAAGTGTTAGTGATTGAGCTGTAAGCTGAAGCCATTTCTGTCTTCTGCTACACTTTACCTGTTCAGGCGTTCGGTCAAGGAAATCAGACATTTCATCTATGAATGTTTCAGTAACCAGCATACTCTGAGTTGTTCCAAACCCTCAGAAAGCTGTATTTGATGAGATGTTGGTTTTACACACACAACCCATCAGTCTGAAGCTCTCAATTTTGTAACAATCATGAAATAATACTGTAAACCAACATATTTTCGCGGATACTTAATTTCGCTTATAGCCCTTTCTAAACCATTTCTCGGCGATTTAATTTTGCGATTGTAAAATTTACTTGATGAAGATAAAAAAGGAAAAATTCAAGTTTTACATATTCATGTTATTTTTCTACTCACAAAAAGTCGCGAAAAATAAATCGCTCGCTAAAATAAGTTGGTTTACAGTATATCAATAAAGAGATTCGATTAACACCTAACTCTTTGATCACTAACCAAATCAGGGAAAGTTGTTTCCGTTGGGATGGTCTTTTCTAATACTGTGGATCCATTGTTAATCCTGGGGTATTATTATTTTGTGGATTTTGTGGGTAAACATAGTAAAGTTAATTATGAGAAAATATAAACTTTCTTTCAGCTTGTATTAAAAATTTGGTTAAACCATGAAATTGAGTATCAACAAAAATGTCTTTTTTTTTATCCACAAAAACTGGTACCTAAAAGAGTAAATGAATCCATTGTAAAAGATGAAGGAACCAGCAATTTTTTAACTAAAAAAGCATTACAAAAATCAAGTGATCAAGCTCCAGAATATATACTATGCAAGTGATGGGAAAATAGACATAAAAATGACAAAGCTATGACACTGGTAGAAGGAATATTCTGATTAAATAAAGGAAAGCAACTCTAGCTTAATCAAAAACATTTATCAGGATTTCCATCACTTTACCGAATCTGGATTTAGATGAAGAAACGTAGAAACTTCGTCCATTAGAGTTTCCATAACCAGCATACCCTGAGGTCCTCCAAATCCTCGGAAAGCAGTATTAGATGCAATGTTAGTTTTACAAGCATAGCCAAGAAGTCCAAGGTTCTCTATTTTGTAGCAATAATCAAATAGTAGTAAACATTTTTCAATCACCTGTATTTATACAGAAAATAGTTAAAAAAAGAATACATAACCTGCAAAGAATACTTTCTATATTTACAAAAATTTGACTGTGAAATCATTATTTGTGAGATATCCTAATTTCGAATTATAACTACGTCCTGTAATAACACAGCTAATTCATGATAACATTCCTGCATGAAAATTAAAGTTAACTGTTTAAATATCAGCCATGGGGAGCAAAAAAAAAACCAGATCAATATAATATTGTTAAGCAATATACGTTTGGGATTTGCAAACTGTCTTATCATGCAGAATTTAAAGGTGAGTAGACTAACAATTTTGAAATGAAAACTAGAGGCTCCCAAGAGCCTGTGTCGCTCACCTGATTCTACTTTGGTTTTGGAAATCACGTAAAAATAGATTAAAATCAAAACAGATACCCTAATAATGATTGAGGCCAAATTTGGCTTAATATTGGCCCCGTAATTTAATCAAAAGAAGAAGACTTTTGTAAAGTTTACAGAAATTACCAATAAATTCATTGAAATTATAGAAAATGACTTTATAAGGACAATGACAAATCAGCTACAAAGTAACAACACTTGGTCAGCACCTCAAAAGAAACATTCATACCATGTTTGGTTTCAATCCATTAAGCGGTTTTCTAGAAGGAGACATTTGTATATATTTCACATAGGGTCCTTTGTTAAACTAAGTCCCCCGTTGGCAACCATCTTGGTTGATGGATTTACTACAAAGTAACAACACTTGGTCAGCACATCATTAGGAACATCCATGCCATGTTTTATTTCATTCCATTTAGTAGTTCTCTAAAAGAAGACATTTGTATGTATTTCCCACAGGGTCCTATGTTAAACTTAATCCCTCTCTGGTGGCCATCTTGGATGATGGATCGGTTTCAAAGTAACAACACTTGATCAGCACCTCATAAGGAACATTCATGTCATGTTTGGTTTCATTCCATTCAGTGGTTCTCTAAAAGAAAACATTTGTATGTATTTTCCATAGGGTCCTATGTTAAACTAAGTCCCTGCTGGCGGCCATCTTGGATGATTGATCGACACTTGGTCAGCACCTAATAAGGAACATTCATGCCATGTTTTATTTCATTCCATTTAGTGGTTCTATAAAAGAAGACATTTGTATGTATTTCCCATAGGGTCCTATGTTAAACTAAGTCCCTTTCTGGCGGCCATCTTGGATGATGGATCAGCTTCAAAGTAACAACACCTGGTCAGCACCTCATAAGGAACATTCATGACATGTTTGGTTTCATTCCATTCAGTGATTCTCTAAAAGAAGACATTTGTATGTATTGTCCATAGGGTCCTATGTTAAACGAAGTCCCCCGCTGGCGGCCATCTTAGATGATGGATCAGCTACAAAGTAACAACACTTGGTCAGCACCTCATAAGGAACATTCATGCCATGTTTGGTTTCATTCCATTCAGTGGTTCTCTAGAAGATGTTCAAAATGTAAAAAGTTACCAACGACGACAGACGACGACGACAACGGACAACGATGGACGCCAGGTGAGCTTAAAGTAATTGTTTTACATCCTTTAACAATTATTCAAAATACTGTAAACCAACTTACTTTCACCGATACCTTTTTCCATGCTTTAAGCCTTTTTCAGCTGATTTTGCAGCAATTTATATTCACAATTTTTCAAACTTTGTTCATATATTCATTTAAGAGAAGATCAAAGTTTGGCATATTCATGACTACCGTTATTTATATCCTTGTTATTTTCTAGTTGTGAGTAGAAATAAATTTTTGGAGAATATAAGTTCGTTTACAATTTTTTTCATGATCAGAAATAACGATTTTGAATAAAAACTATCGAAACCATTTCACTATCTATACAGTAACAGATCAGGAAAATTTCAACATTTCTATCTTTCCATCCTGGGCCACACTTTTGTCCCCTCATATACATCCCCTAATATTTACCCTCAGATTTAAAAAAAAAAATGTTGAATACAAAAAGCTTGACTAATTAATATCATCAGAGTGAGTGATGTGAGAAAGGGGAGGAGGGGAGGGGGTGAGTGTGAATGAAGGTGGTCAATTTTGTCATGTCTGAAAGGGCCCTGTGATTAGGAAATAAAGAATGTGAATTTTACTTATTTTTCCAAAGTATGATGACAAAAAAAAGACATTGTTACTACTACTAGCACTGGGATTTATCTATAAGTTGTGTGCCCTTTTTCTACCTTTGGCTGATAAATATCACTTAATCAACCTGAGCTGTATGCTGTGTGTCTCTTATCAATTCCTACACTAAATGATGGATGCTTGTAATTTTTCAAACACGACCAATCAGAATCAAGGTTATATAGATCATAATATATTAAAATAAATGAAGAAAAAAACAAATGCATACAAGAATAAGTACTTTCACAGTGTGTTTGTTTATAAAGACATACTAATATATGTAAAATATACAATTATACGCATACACAATTTAAAACACATATTTATATGCATACACATTCTGACACTGGACTCAGACTTCTTTTAAACTGAGTTTTATTGTGTGTATTGCTGTGTGTTTGTTTTTTCTACATTGGCTAGAGGTATAGGGGGAGGGTTGAGACCCCACAAAACATGTTTAACCCCGCTGCATTTTTGTACCTGTTCCAAGTCAGGAGCCTCTGGCCTTTGTTAGTCTTGTATGATTTTTAATTTTAGTTCATTTTGGAGATTAGTATGACGTCCATTATCACTGAACTAGTACACATTTTTATTTAGGGGCCAGCTGAAGCACGCCTCCGGGGGTGCGGGATTTTCTCCCTGTGTTGAAGACCCATTGGTGGCCTTCGGCTGTTTTCTGCTTTTTGGTCGGGTTGTTGTCTCTTTGACACATTTCCCATTTCCATTCTCAATTTTACAATTTAAAATACTCATTTATATGCATACACAATTTAAAATACATATTTACATGCATACAAATTACTTTGCTCTCGTCACCTTTTAAAATAAATTAAAAGAAGGTATCAGGGCACAATATACCTCCATAAATCTGAAAATTATAAAATGTCAGAAATCTTTCAATGGTTAATAATCAGAAAACATTAGGACTATTCCAAAAGTGACAAAAACTGTGGGGGTCACAGGTCACAGGTCACCATGATTAGGAATCACTACAGCTTTATAAAGAATGGAGGTCCAACAAGTTAAAGTTTCAGCACCATTCGAGATTTTTTCTTTCAATTTTGACTTTCTCAGTTCTTAAACATTGGTCATGGGTCATTTACAAATGAACGTCCATTTGATGTATGCAAAATTACTGAAGAGCATTAGAAAAACACATTTACTGAAAAAATTAATTGTGTAAAGTTTATTCATATCAAAATTGGACGACTTTTTGAATTTTCTAACTGTAGTTATCCCTGCAATTATATAAATTATGTACATAGAGGGGTATATCTAAACACACAACATTTGAAACATAACCCAAACATGGACTTTATTGGGCAACATTGTTCCTTTGACTCTGACATACTCTGTAATAGTGACGGCAGACATGATCCAATCAAAAGTGACATTACATATCATATAGTAGACATATTCTCCACATTCTGTAAGTATGTGCCTGTCCAAAGTCAGGAGCTTGTAATTCAGTGGTTGTCGTTTGTTGCTGTGCTCCATATTTGTTTTTCGTTCATTTTTTTGTACATAAATTAGGCCATGGCGTTGTTAGTTTATCTCCACTTTATTAGTTTGAATGTCACCTTGGTATTTTCTCCCTATTTTTAAATGTTATATACATAAAAATAAGAAGATGTGGTATGATTACCAATGAGACAACTCTCCATTAGAGACCAAATGACACAGAATAAATAGTATATTAGATACTTACAGCTTCGGATAAATCATATGTACAACCAGCATTGTTATACAGGTTCACTTCTGCAGCAACAACTTTACCTTCCTTTGTAAATCCAACCTGAAATCAAATTGTTATACTGATCAATCTTGGCAGGCAAAACCTTCCCTTTTGGGGTAACATAAACTCAAATCAAATTGTGATATACAGATAAATCTCCTTGGGTAAAACCTTCCCTTCGAGGGTTAATAAAATAATACTGATAAAAATCTTTGGGCAAAACTTTCCATTTTAGGGTTAATAAAAACTCAAATCAAATTGTGATATAAAGATAAATCTCTTCAGACAAAACCTTAACTTTTGGGGTAATAAAAACTCAAATCAAATTGTGATACATGTATACAGATAAATCTCTGCAGTAAATAATTTTCTCTCTAAATCCAAATCAGTTTCTTTAAAGTGTCATTGCCTAGCTGTTTCATTTATTGACGCTGGTATAGATTTGATGTAAGACCATAAATCCTAAGGGATGAAGATGTATACAGCTGACAGAGAATCTATATCATGGCTAATACAGAATCAGCCAGTTCATAATTCCCTTACTAAATGATTCTTAGTTATCTAGTCAACATTTTGCAAATGGCTAAAATCATGTATGAGCCTGTCTTTTTGCATAATGCATTGCTTACATATAATCTCATACATTGTATTAACAAGAGTGCACACGCTGAAATGTCTCGCCTTCTTTACTAATCATTGATATTATGTTGATAGTCCTAAATATAAAGCTTTATTACAACTGTCACATAAACTTAACATTTTCCAAGTAAACTAAACATTGACCAATGAACCATGAAAATGAGGTCAAGGTCAGATGAACCATGCTAGGCAGGCATGTACAGCTAACAATTCTTCCATACAACAAATATAGTTGACCTATTGCTTATAGTTTAAGAAAAACAGACCAAAACACAATAACTTAACACTGATCAATGAACCTTGAAAATGAGGTCAAGGTCAAATAAAACCTGTGTGACTGACATATAGATCATAAAATATTTCCATACACCAAATATAGTTGAACTATTGCATATAGTATTAGAAAAAAAGACCAAAACTCAAAAACTTAACTTTGACCACTGAACCATGAAAATGAGGTCAAGGTCAGATGACACCTGCCAGCTAGACATGTAAACCTTACAATCATTCCATACACCAAATATAGTAGACATATTGCATACAGTATAAGAAAAACAGACCAAAACACAAAAACTTAACTATAACCACTGAACCATGAAAATGAGGTCAAGGTCAAATAAAACCTGCATGACTGACATACAGATCATAAAATATTTCCATACACCAAATATAGTTGAACTATTGCATATAGTATTAGAAAAAAAGACCAAAACTCAAAAACTTAACTTTGACCACTGAACCATGAAAATGAGGTCAAGGTCAGATGACACCTGCCCACTAGACATGTACACCTTACAATCATTCCATACACCAAATATAGTAGACCTATTGCATACAGTATAAGAAAAACAGACCAAAACACAAAAACTAAACTATATCCACTGAACCATGAAAATGAGGTCAAGGTCAGATGACACCTGCCAGTTGGACATGTACACCTTACAGTCCTCCCATACACCGAATATACTAGACCTATTGCTTATAGTATCTGAGATATGGACTTGACCACCAAAACTTAACCTTGTTCACTGATCCATGAAATGAGGTCGAGGTCAAGTGAAAACTGTCTGACGGGCATGAGGACCTTGCAAGGTACGCACATACCAAATATAGTTATCCTATTACTTATAATAAGAGAGAATTTAACATTACAAAAAATCTGAACTTTTTTTTCAAGTAGTCACTGAACCATGAAAATGAGGTCAAGGACATTGGACATGTGACTGACGGAAACTTCGTAACATGAGGCATCCATATACAAAGTATGAAGCATCCAGCTCTTCCACCTTCTAAAATATAAAGCTTTTAAGAAGTTAGCTAACGCTGCCGCCGCCGCCGCCACCGGATCACTATCCCTATGTCGAGCTTTCTGCGACAAAAGTCGCAGGCTCGACAAAAAAACAACATCTGGAACATCTTAGCTATAGATTACAACTTAATAATACTGTAAACCAACTTATTTCTGCTGATAATTTATATCGCCATTAACCCTTTCTAGCCCATTTCACGGTTTGATTTCAAGATTCTCAAATTAACTTGATGTAATTAAATATGGAAAATTCCTAGTTCTACATATTCGGGAGGATTTATATTTGCGTTATTTTTCTACATGCGAAAGTACCGAAAAATAAATTGCTTTTAAAAATTAGTTGGTTTACAGTAAGCAAATTTGGCACCAGAATAACGGAAAAATTCTTTCAATGAACACTGTGGCATTTGTATGTAAATAATAATTTTTGGGGTGAATTGAAATTGACATTCACCTTTCTCACCCACAAGGTTCATACTATCACACAGGAAAAGTCCAGGATATCATATCCCTTTACAAAAGTCAACCTTGGGTAATGATATAATAGATTGATTGGTTGGTTGGTGATTTCTTTAAGCCGCATCAGCACAAAAAGACTATATCGCGGCGAGAGAGCGAATTCAAATATTTGAACAAAAGACAGTTTTTAAAATTTGAACAAAAGGTCTTTCAATTTACTAAAACTTTAGATTAAAGTAAAATTATCATTTGTACATATACAATTCACAAATAATAGGTGATTCTCTTATAAACTGAAATACCTTATATTGTCCTAGGAATGGATGTCTGGTACCTGATATCAACATACCTTATATTGTCCTAAGAATGGATGTCTGGTACCTGATATCAACATACCTTATATTGTCCTAGGAATGGATGTCTGGTCCCTGATATCAACATACCTTATATTGTCCTAAGAATGGATGTCTGGTACCTGATATCAACATACCTTACATTGTCCTAAGAATGGATGTCTGGTACCTGATATCAACATACCTTATATTGTCCTAGGAATGGATGTCTGGTCCCTGATATCAACATACCTTATATTGTCCTAAGAATGGATGTCTGGTACCTGATATCAACATACCTTATATTGTCCTAAGAATGGATGTCTGGTACCTGATATCAACATACCTTATATTGTCCTAGGAATGGATGTCTGGTCCCTGATATCAACATACCTTATATTGTCCTAGGAATGGATGTCTGGTACCTGATATCAACATACCTTATATTGTCCTAGGAATGGATGTCTGGTACCTGATATCAACATACCTTATATTGTCCTAGGAATGGATGCCTGGTCCCTGATATCAACATACCTTATATTGTCCTAGGAATGGATGTCTGGTACCTAATATCAACATACCTTATATTGTCCTAGGAATGGATGTCTGGTCCCTGATATCAACATACCTTATATTGTCCTAGGAATGGATGTCTGGTCCCTGATATCAACATACCTTATATTGTCCTAGGAATGGATGTCTGGTACCTGTTATCAACATATCCTCATCTCTGTCTAACATACAACGCACTGGTTTTTTTAGCCTGTAAAATATGTTATTGAATGTTTACTAATAGGTCACCCAATATAATAAAAGACAAGCAATCTCTATACGAAAAATATATCAATGCTACATTTGAACTTGCAATCAATGTAAAAAAAAAAGAAAAATGTGTCTATGTGACACAGATGATGCCCCCGCTTGCATATAAACTTATAAAGGGACATAAATAGAGAACTGTAAAAGTAACTTGATCTGTGTTTTATAGTAATAAGCATTGTGTATAAGTTTCTTAATATTTGGTTGAGGCGAACTAAAGTTAGAGAACAGAAACCAATTTTGGAAGTACGTATGGACGGACAAGGGTAACACTTAAGGCCCCCTCTGCCAAGGTGGGGCCATGAAAATGAAGGTATTCATGAATGCTTAATGTAAGTAAGGTATTGTAGAGTTACTGTAATCTTTTTCTTCACCTACACATAAGGTATTTATCATATATGTACAGTCACTGTGGCATTCTCCTCTAAAAACAAAATATTATGGTTTCCCAACCAGCTTGCCATATCATTGTAATACTTATAAAAGATAAAGTATAAATGCCTAAGATGCATAGTTAATTACTAAAATGACAAAACAAAAAACAGAAATAGTTTTTGTTGCTTCTTTTCTTCTAAAAGTCATAATTAAAGCTTATAAAAAAATTTTGATTATGACTTATTACATAGCCTTGTTTATGACTTATTACATAGCCTTGTTTATGACTTATTAATTACAAAACCTTGATTATGACTTATTTATTACAAAGCCTTGTTTATGACTTATTACATAGCCTTGTTTATGACTTATTAATTACAAAGCCTTGATTATGACTTATTTATTGCAAAGCCTTGTTTATTACTTATTACAAAGCCTTGTTTAAGACTTATTTATTACAAAGCCTTGTTTAAGACTTATTTGTTACAAAGCCTTGTTTATGACTTATAACATAGCCTTGTTTATGACTTATTAATTACAAAGCCTTGATTATGACTTATTTATTACAAAGCCTTGTTTATGTCTTATTACAAAGCCTTGTTTAAGACTTATTTATTACAAAGCCTTGTTTATGACTTATTTATTACAAAGCCTTGTTTATGACTTACTTATTACATAGCCTTGTGTATGACTTATTTATTACAAAGCATTGTATATTACTTATTGATTACAAAGCCTTGTTTATGACTTATTTATTACAAAGCCTTGTTTATGACTTATTTATTACAAAAGCATTGTATATTACTTATTTATTACAAAGCCTTGTTTATGACTTATTACATAGCCTTGTTTATGAATTATTAATTACAAAGCATTGTATATTACTTATTTATTACAAAGCCTTGTTTATGACTTATTACATAGCCTTGTTTATGAATTATTAATTACAAAGCATTGTATATTACTTATTTATTACAAAGCCTTGTTTATGATTTATTACATAGCCTTGTTTATGACTTATTAATTACAAAGCCTTGATTATGACTTATTTATTACAAAGCCTTGTTTACGACTTATTTATTACAAAGCCTTGTTTATGACTTATTTATTACAAAGCCTTGTTTATGACTTATTTATTACAAAGTCTTGTTTATGACTTATTAATTACAAAGCCTTGATTATGACTTATTTATTACAAAGCCTTGTTTATGACTTATTACATAGCCTTGTTTATGACTTATTAATTACAAAGCCTTCATTATGACTTATTTATTACAAAGCCTTGTTTATGACTTATTTATTACAAAGCCTTGTTTAAGACTTATTTATTACAAAGCCTTGTTTAAGACTTATTTATTACAAAGCCTTGTTTATGACTTATTTATTACAAAGCCTTGTTTGTGACTTCTTTGTTACAAAGCCTTGATTATGACTTATTTATTACAAAGCCTTGTTTATGACTTATTTATTACAAAGCCTTGTTTATGACTTATTTATTACAAAGCATTGTATATTACTTATTTATTACAAAGCCTTGTTTATGACTTATTACATAGCCTTGTTTATGAATTATTAATTACAAAGCATTGTTTACGACTTATTTATTACAAAGCCTTGTTTACGACTTATTTATTACAAAGCTTTGTTTATGACTTATTTATTACAAAGCCTTGTTTATGACTTATTTATTACAAAGTCTTGTTTATGACTTATTAATTACAAAGCCTTGATTATGACTTATTTATTACAAAGCCTTGTTTATGACTTATTACATAGCCTTGTTTATGACTTATTAATTACAAAGCCTTGATTATGACTTATTTATTACAAAGCCTTGTTTATGACTTATTTATTACAAAGTCTTGTTTATGACTTATTAATTACAAAGCCTTGATTATGACTTATTTATTACAAAGCCTTGTTTATGACTTATTACATAGCCTTGTTTATGAATTATTAATTACAAAGCATTGTATATTACTTATTTATTACAAAGCCTTGTTTGTGACTTATTTGTTACAAAGCCTTGATTATGACTTATTTATTACAAAGCCTTGTTTAAGACTTATTTATTACAAAGCCTTGTTTAAGACTTATTTATTACAAAGCCTTGTTTATGACTTATTTATTACAAAGCATTGTATATTACTTATTTATTACAAAGCCTTGTTTATGACTTATTTGTTACAAAGCCTTGTTTATGACTTATTTATTACAAAGCATTGTTTATGACTTATTCATTACAAAGCCTTGTTTATGACTTATTTATTACAAAGCCTTGTTTATGACATATTTATAATAACTTCTTGTTTATTTTGTTTTATACTGAGGCTTTATATATTATACTAGAGGCTTACTTTGTCAACTTTACGTATTTTACTCCTTTTGGAGTTCATGCGATTTTCATTTGTGAAATTTGAACGTCAATATTACTGTTACCTCTAATTATATGATGATAAAACTTACTTATAAGCTGCTAAAGCCACGGGTGTTGTCAGGCAGATTGATCTGGTTTCTTTACCTCCAAATCCTCCACCTATAATGTAACCAGTTATATGAATATTATCTTAAAACATATCACATAAAATTATTATCTCCCCTTTTATAATCATCTGTCTCATCAGTCTGATGAGTATTTTTAATAATCTATTTGCTCTCTCTTTCTCTTTTTATTTCATTTTTGAAGGAAAAGGGTGATTTTAGGAAAACTATTAGGATGAAAGTATCCTTAAAGTTTTCACCAAAGTGCCTGATATGGATAAAAACCAACAGAAATTGTAAATATAATATTGACCTAATCTTTTGCCTACAGAAATTAATTTAGTAGTATTATTGTACTGATCTGAAGTTGCAGTCTTGAAAATGTTAAAAGCATAACATCTGGTTTGGTGCATGTATGATACAGAAATATACTAACCTAATCTTTTGACTCTAACAAGGATTTTATTTGCAGCTACACCTAAGGTCTCAGCAACTACCAACTGTAAAAAAAAAAGCAACTATAATATGAACAAAGGCTGCAAGAAGCTCCATTATACATATTTCATTTTTTTAAAGTATATAAATTATCACTGTTGATATAAATTATTAATATATTTACACTAGAGATGTTTTGTTCAAAAATTGTTCCCTTTTAATTCCAGTCAAATACCTTGCATCTTATATCTTATTTATGCCTGCTTTACTGTTCATTTTTCAATTTTATGTTGAAAGTTGTTAAGATGTTCCTGGTTATACTACAGGTTGAACATAGATTTTACCTAATAAAGATCCATGAAAATAAGGTCAAAGTCAGATGAACCCTCCTAGACAGTCTTCTTCACCTTACAACCAGGCTAATGAAATATGTACACCAAAAAGTCATCATAGTACACAAAAAAAATAGTAACCTTTTGCTTAAAATATCTGAGAAACAGACTTTTCCACAAAAGATTAACGTTGTCAAATTTAAATGTACCTATGAAATAGAGGTCAAGGTCAGACGAACCCTGCCAGACAGACATGTAAACCTATCAACAAGGCAAGTGAACTATCAATATTAAAAAGCCCTGGGCTAGTTAGGTTTGTAAAATATATCTTAATCCCTAAAAAATTATGCATTAAACAAAATACAGATCCTATCTACCTGTGTTTCTGTTGGGTTTTGTGTAGAAACAAATAACTCCATTTCCCCGTCTTCATTCTTAGGTACAGCCAGGGTAGCATTTGTCTCCAGATAAAAGTGTTCCTGTCCCCCTACGTGTACCTCTCCTTCTATCACATGATCTGCTTGTTCAAATCCTTTCACAGTGTCTCCACAATTAACAGTTTTAGATTCAGTCCAGTAAGAATTTTTGGCAATAGCTTCCTGCAATTTAAAATATATATATATAATCCAGATATGGTGTACAAATTTTTGCACCTCATGTTTGCGGTATACCATCTTTTCCGCAAGTTTATTGTTTTCTGTTTGGTAATAAATTAATAATAAGATCTATTTTGTTACATCTTGTGATCCCTTTATTTGGCAATCGCCAATGGCAGTCAGCAGGGTTTAAGAACATCAGTTGTTCGACCTGCTAGTCAAATACGTTTTGTTAAAATATACTTTTTCACTCATTTGGTCTTTTGGAAAATGTTGTTTGTGCTGTATTTAGACCACTTTACCAAGAAATTTGTTTTGCATGCACACGTATAAAAATTGCGGTATTTATCCAACGCAATCATAGGTTTGAACGTTGTTTTCAATTTAGACTTGTTTATATTTTTTCGTTTGGGCTTGTATTATATTTGCCTTCGGGTTTATATGATCCGTTCATCCTATTTTGACTTTTTCAAAATTCAAGAGTCTATCCTAAATTGAGGTAAATTATATGGCCTTCCAAATACTGTTTCGATTCCTAACATCACTGAAGAGACATTAATTGTCGAAATCCTGATATGGTGTACAAATTTTTGCACCTCATGTTTGCGGTATACCATCTTTTCCGCAAGTTTATTGTTTTCTGTTTGGTAATAAATTAATAATAAGATCTATTTTGTTACATCTTGTGATCCGTTTATTTGGCAATCGCCAATGGCAGTCAGCAGGGTTTAAGAACATCAGTTGTTCGACCTGCTAGTCAAATGCGTTTTGTTAAAATATACTTTTTCACTCATTTGGTCTTTTGGAAAATGTTGTTTGTGCTGTATTTAGACCCCTCTACCAAGAAATTTGTTTTGCATGCACATGTATAAAAATTGCGGTATTTATCCAACGCAATCATAGGTTTGAACGTTGTTTTCAATTTAGACTTGTATATATATATATATATATATATATAAGTCTAGAGATTTGCACAACGATACTAATATAAGATGGTATTATACGAAGATGTTGTTAACAATACTGTATTGTTAAAATAATTGACACCGAAGAAGGCTATTTGTTAAGCCGAAATATTTGTCAACACGATTTATTAACAACATCTTCGTATAATACCATCTTATATTAGTATCGTTGTGCAAATCTCTAGACTTATATAATTTTTTTCCTTATCTGCACAGTATAGTCTATTCTAGACGATCCGGTACATAGTAAATTTGCTGGTTGGTCCTTTTTATAGACTTCTATATATATATATATATATATATATATATATATCAAATTTTCTCAACTTTTGTACCTTTTTTAAAATAATTATTATATTATATTATAATATTATGGAATTCAAGATGTAAACAAATGAATTAAAAATTATAAGAATTAATTTTCCCTGATATAAAACTGAATAAAGAAACCAATTGTTTTTAAGGTGTAAAGATTGGTTTTTAATCTAACAGTGGATTGTACAAATTTGGGTTCTTTGGAACATATGTAGTGGTGATGTACAAAGTGTTAACATTATTCAAATGAGTTAAATGAATATAGTTCCTTTAAGAATTTCACATTAGGTGGGGGCAGGCTCAGTTTATAAAGTTTGGTACAGATGTACGACTGTATTTAAAAAAATGCTCTTTTTCATATATTGAAGTTTTGCAAAAAATCCTTACATATAACAAAAACAATGGCCAATAGAAGACTTACCTCATTTTCATGTTAAGCGAACCATAAAATCAGGGTTAAAACCATAATTAAGCATAAATTTTGAAAAGTTAACATCATAATGAGTATGTGTACTTAGTTTCAAGATGTTGTGACCACAAGTTCATGGTAAACTACCTTAAACAAAAAACTTCCACCTGATATGGCACAGACTGAATTTCAGACATTCGTGTATATCTTCATACAGGATCCTCCCCAGCAGTATTTCACACTATACATACAATTAGCAAATCAAAGTGCTTGTAAGCATTGAAAGGTAAAGATTGCTTTTAATTTATCAGTGGGAAGTAAAATTAAACATTGCATTGTATAAAGCATCAACTACTATTATGGACAAAGGAAGATAACTCCAATTTTAAAGATTAAAACGAGATCATTGATATTTTAAAAACAGATATTAGATTCCTGCACCTTGCACAAGTTATGTGATTTTTCTTGACAAGTATAACATCATTTTGTAACTTTAATATCTGAGCATATATTTCATTGATAAAGATCTAGAAATGTTCATGGATTGGATGTTTAAAATGTTATGATCAATGAACTATATTTTGTGTATCTCAAAAGTAGTGATAAACCTTGGAACATTTAGATATCCAGTACCATAGGGTTTTGATTGCATTCTTTACCAAAAAATGTCTTACCTTAATGGTTATTATACTGTCAAGTTTTTCATATTCAATATGGACAGCTTTAGCAGCAGCCTGGGCGTGAGCTTGTGTATCGGCTACTACAGCTCCAATTATATGTCCAATACACAACACCTACAAACAGACAATATTGACACAATTATATCAAACATTTATATCTAATCAATAAAAAAAAGCAAATAACTTGGGTTTTGGGGGGGAGGGAGATAATTACACATGCACAGCACAACAATCTATACAATAAAGGGAGATAACCATATATCAAAAAAATATTGATTTTATTGCTGTTCTTCATCACGACAGTTTTGTGAATTTATAAATTTGTTTAAAAAGTAATAAATAGTTTTCTACAAATACTTACCCTTTTACACAATAAATACAAGGTAACAAATTCAAGAGTAGGGTAATATAAGAATGAGAATAGGGGTAAACGTTCATGAGATAAAAATCACATGACTTATTGCAAAGAAAAGTTGATTTTAAATACAAATAAAGAGATGTGATTGTAATGAGACAACTATCCATAGACCATAGGAGAACGATTTGAACAATCTCAATTATGTATTTGCATCTTCTTTGTTACTAAAAACTCTTCAATGATGAGCTAAGGAACTCAACACACACTATTAAGCATGATCAATGCTTGTTTTATATTTCATAAAAGGTAATACTGTGAATTTAGAAATTTTTGCAATATTATCATTATGGGGGAAATGCAACAGTGCAACAGGCATGGTTTTACAAATCATAAAAACTCAAATTTTAAATTTGACAGCATGCAACATTTCCTGAAAAAGCAAAAACTAATCTCACTTGATTGTTGATTTTGTTCAACAATTGCAATAATAAATATGGGTACACATAAACATTTCTTAATTTACATGATATGTGTGAGAATCATCAATAAATAACATAGATTTACAGAATTTCTCACATTTACTAATGATTTTACATTCTAAGAATTTGTCATAAATTATATCTCGGCATAAATTCACCACACTCATAAATGATATCCACTGCTTATAATGAAGAATTTTGTTAGAATATAAAATGTATCATTCTCATCTCAGCATGAATCAGGGATACATTTTCATAAACTGTTAACACAGAGATATGTCTCGCCTATTTGTTATTTTTGATAATGCAGATGTTGAAATTAAAATAGCAATACTTTAACATATAAGTTATGCAAATATTCAAAGTCAATGAACCATGACTGAAGGTACAGGGCTAAACAATCTCCATGGAAATAAGATGTGCCAATGCTAATACAATTGCATATCGAATACCACTGACTTTTTATAAGTTGTTCCGTACAAACCTAAACACAAACATTAACTTGTAAACTATGCAAAAGTTTCAAAGTCAATACCCATAATGAGGGGGTGGGGTTATATAATCTCCAAGGAAATGAAACGTGCAAATGCCAATACATTTGCATAGCAAATATCAATGACTTTACATTAGTGGTTCATCTTAAACTGACCTAATCACAAACTTATACATATAAACTAAGCATAAAATTCAAAGTCAATAGACCGTGACTGAGAAGTAAGGACCAAATATTCTCCATGGAAGATATGTGCTAATGCTTACACAACTGCATACCAATTATCATTGACCTACCACTAATGGTTCACCTTAAACTAACTAATCACAAACTAGAGCAAGAGTTTCAAAGTCAATAGACCATGACTGAGGGTGCGGGGCCAAAAAATCCCCATGGAAATGAGATATGCCAATGCTTATACAACTGTATATCAAATATCATTGACCTACCACTAGTGGTTCCCCATAAACTGACCTAATCACAAACTTATACATGTAAACTAAGCAAAGTTTCAAAGTCAATAGACCATGACTGAGGGGGCAGGGCCAAATAATCTCTATGGTAATGTGATGTGTCAATGCTTATATTACGGCATACCAAATATAATTGACCTACCACTAGTGGTTCACAATCAACTAGACCTAATCACAAACTAATACATTGATGACGCAGCTGCCCCTGCTGCCGACGCCGGAAATAGCATACCTATGTCTCACTTTTTGACTCCGCCAAGGCGACACAAAAAAAGGGAGTTTGATTTCATTTATATATATGACATGCGTCTGATAGAAATCGACTTTATGCAAATGAATATCAATACATCTATAAATCTATTTCGGGTTGAAAATATCTCTACAGAAAGTCTATAACTCTTTGAAAATTTAGTTGTTATAAGAACCATACAAAACAGACCAAAAATCATCTTTTTATTTCGTATTTGAACGTTCCAAAATCAATCAAAGTCTTATACATGTACATGTATGCGTGTAATTGCATAAGGTTGATTTCTATTCAAGGCAGCTCATACATTTTAGGAGGTATCAAGATGCACCACCATTCATAGTTACCTCAGTGGAAGCAAATGACTCCTCAGGAATAATTCCCCAAGTATTATGTCCAGGAACATCTTTGTGAGAGATGAAATCAACAACTCCTGTCATTGACAATGCCTTAGTCGGATCAACCTTCAGTAATTTAGCATGAGCCTGTGTACTGGTAACTAGGGCTAAATATAACTCTCCTACAAAAAATATAAAAGTACAGTTGAAATAAAATTCTTTCCTATTCATGAACTATTTATATGACTTTTTTTATCGAAAGCCGCAATCTTTTAAATTAAAATGATATTGTATGGAGAGATCTTCTTTTGCTAAATTGATTGATTAATTGTTTGATAGTTGATGATAAATGCCACTTGGCTATACCGGGAGTACTTGGAAAGAACTACAACCTTTGACAAAAACTGGCAATAATTAAGATCCAAGTAAAAAAAAAATCTTGCCACAAGTAGGATTCCAACTCACAACTTCAGAGTTAAAAGACACTATAGTGATCACTGTAGATGAAATATTTGGATCGCTCAGCTACAAAGGTCTCTGCAACATTGAAACTTGTTTCATAGCTGATTCTACTTAAGCGGGAGCAGTGATTTCAGATTTATAATCCAATACCTTTAAAATTCTAGTCATATTTGCATACTTGATTGAACTAAAAGTTGAATTATGTTTGCTTAATATCCAGTTGCAAATATTTCATGTATAGTCAGAAAGAGAGTGAACACTAGGATAAATCAATCTACTCTACCCTGTGTTCCAGTAATTATTTTGTTTCTAAAAGAATGTATGTTGTTTGTTCAGTAGCAAATATTACATGCAGAATAAGGATAAAAGGTAATTTTGAGTTGGTAAAAGTGCACTAATCTTGAGAATTGATTGGTGTTTAATGCCACTTTCAACACTATTGTGCTATTTCGTGGCAGTCAGGTTTTATTGGAGGGGGGAGCCAGAGTGGCCAGAGAGAACCACTGACTTTCGGTAGGAAAACTGACAATCCTAGTCAATAAAGATCCGAGTCCAGTGCACCTGTCCTGTGCGGGATTCGAACTCAGAACCTCAGTGTTGATAGGCTAGTGATACAGTAGGACTACCTAGACCATCCGGCCACCAAGGCCCCCTAATCTAGAGAAATAATTCCTGAGCAGTATATAATATTGCACGAGCATACTTAGTGCAAAATGAAATATTGCGAGGGACAATATTCTTCAATTATATTTCAATAACACTTTTATATTATAGAACCAAATATTTCAGCAACTTTGATGATAGTTTGTCCAATTCCAGCAGCCCTAATGCTTACATTTAAGCTTCATTTCAAGTTATCTCCCCAGGACATTTTATAGCCGCGGAACAACGACGATATAATTTTTTTCCATGACAAGTCCGACAATAGAGGCAATTAAGAGTGATTAAATAGGTGTTAATTGCCCTTTGGGCAATAACTGTTTGGATACGAATACCAAAAGCTGACACTTATGACATGACTAATAACACGTGGTCCAATCGCAAATTTTGACATCAAGAAAATGGAATCAATAAATCATAAACAATTCGAAATCTACATTTGCATCATGGCACAACCATCTTCTAAGAGAAGAACAAAAACTACGCGGGCTACGTCGATGTTGACAAACTGGCTGACCAAACCAAGTTGTAAATATTAGGAGATTTTTTTCATGTCGATTAAACAGCAATTTTTCATTTATAAATAAAGGAATTCAAGGATATAAACGATTTAATTTCTTTAGAAAAGAGGTTTGGTCGTATGTTACTTCAAACTAACAACTTTTTAAGAAGTATTTTCTTTCCCTTCCGGTACTTGTTACTCGAGAGCGTATATTAAACATTTTGATTTTCGGCAAAATAAGTTTGATACTTCATTAGAAAGTGATCAAAATTGCCTTTAGTTAATGTTTCATCCATTTATTGCATTAAAAGCGTCATATTCATTCCTAATCGCTTGTCAAACATTATTCATTTTCGTTAATTTTTCTTCGACCGCCATTGGAATATTTGTACAACTACAGATTGGATGCAGGATTCATCGGAAGCGGACCAGCTATAACCAAAATCCGCATTTGTATGAATAACTACAGATGCACAAATGGCACAGCTGACAAAATAATAATGATCCCAAAAGAGAAAACTGCGCATTCCACTCGCATTAACAAATTTTTGTTAGATCTCCTTGCTAAATGTATTCATTTTGTAAATGCATTGTTTCAATATACTGATTAAAGTAGCTTAACATTTTGATATGAAACAACTGGGACTAATACATTGAGTCCCAGGAAACAATGAATTTCATAAACATGATAAACAGAAGTTTTTTAATTGAAATTTCATTGCTATATGATACTTTCTCTTCCTTTTTGATATAAAAAAAAAGTTCTTTTTTGTACTAGATATTTAGTTGGTAGTATCTGACAAGAGGAAAAATATAATTCTGTAACTATAAATGAATATAGAAGACATAAACTGAAACAACTGTTATACTTTAATTGTATTCTCAGTTATGAATTGTACAATATAAACATAACTGAAAGGAAATAGAGCATCGCCGCGATGCGACAAATGACATTGAAAAAAATACAGTTTTATTTTTTTACGCCAAATGTGATGCTATCCAAAATTTCTGGGGAGAACACTGATTTCCACCATCTTGTTTATCTCTTTTTTCCTTGCATGCAAATATTGTTTTACTCAGAACCTCGCTAGTGCATACCAAACTTTAAGAAGACAGTGTGGAATGAAATATTTTTACAACATCGGAAATGGTCTACTTTTCAGGTTTATTAGAAGAAGACAAGTATAAATATTGTCAAATATTGCATTTATATTTTACAAAAAGATTTACATGCAATTTTTGATTCTTATATATTATAAAAGATAATATACCTTCAAATGATGGCATATCATCCACATAGATAGCTTCCCCTGTGGCTTGTTTCATGGCAGATAAATGGACCAAAGGTCGTCCTACAGCATCTTGTGGTGGTTGCCCAGGGGCCACTTCCTCATAGATTTGTGAACCTTTACTAGGATCTCGATGGAAATTAGGTGTGGCACTTGTAAACGACTTTGGCACTTTCTTACTTGGTCCTGACTTCTATAATAAAAAATAATCTAAACATACGAAGAAATCTTAAGTTGAATATCGTAAAATTAAAAAAAATTGAATACCTGTAATATAAAAATAGCTAGTAAAAAAATAAGTATAAATTGTTATCAATAGTAAATTACTATTCTGTGGATTCATCATTATTATTTGGAGACCAAAATTTCACTGATTTCATGGGTAAAGGCAAACCTAGAATTTAAATGTTTAATGAACCTGTCCCAGGTTAGGGGGAGGGTTGGGATCCTGCTAACATGTTTAACAAGCCACAAGCCTCATTCTGTATGTAAGTGCCTGTCCCAAGTCAGGAGCCTGTAATTCAATGGTTGTCGTTTGTTGCTGTGTTACATATTTGTTTTTCGTTCATTTTTTTGTACATTAATTAGGCCGTTAGTTTTCTCGTTTGAATTGTTTTACATTTGTCATTTCGGGGTCTTTTATAGCTGGCTATGCGGTATGGGCTTTGAAGACATTTGGTCTCTTTTGAAGAGTTGTCTCATTGGCAATCATACCACATCTTCATTTTTATATATAAATTTTCTATTGGTTTGTATGCAGACTTCGGCAAAACCACGAAATCAAATATCTATGAAAACATAACTTTACCTCAATCCACGATAATAAGTATCCATGAAAAAAATGATTCCACTGTATATAATCAAGAAATTGTTGTGGACAAATACAGAATCTGCATTCATGAAACATTTGAATAAGATAAAAATGTCGACTGTACCTGTTGTTGAAGCTGTAATTGTGTTGTCAAATAAAACTTGAAGAAAAAGCTTGTTGTAAGTGTTCGTCTGTATTCTACCATTCCACCAGGAGCACCAGGGGTCAATTGAAGGTCATCAGCCATTAGTCGACAGACATCATCTATTAAGCTGTCATCCCACTTCCTGTAACAAAGAAATGAAACTTATTGTCAGGTTAAATCTAATCAAATGGGAACACTTAGGATCAATCTGTTGGTTGCTGGCAAACAATCAACACATGTTATATGTCATCAAACCCCAATAAATATTGTCACCTTTCACTAATCATTTTAATTCCCCCCCCCCCCCCCCCCCCCTTGCCCCAACAGAAGTGAAATACTATGCCTAAACCCTGCTTATGTTCTAACCCACACTAAATACAGTAGTTTCCACTCTACCAAAAACATGATCAGTATTCAGATTAAAGCCGGTCAATATTGTTTTCCCTTTTATTAATTTTTAATTTGCAGTTACAAATTTATTGCCTTAGGCCCAAGGCCAACCCCTTTTTGTTATCTACAAAATCCTAAATTATGTTGATTTGATCCTATCATTTCCAGTACTATTGGACAAGTAGACATTCCCTAACCCCAACCCTTAACGAGAATATGTGATGATTGAAAACTATGCCCCACTTACACTATCACATTTCCATGTTTAGTGAACTACTGACTCTGAGTCAAAACCCTGATTTGACATATTCTTTTATAAAAGTTCATATCATAATGAACATGTGTAATAAGTTTCAAGTTGATATGACCACAAATTCATGGTAAAAACTACCTTAAACAAATCTATAGCCTAATACTGGATGAATAAATGGACAAATATGCTCATTGTTGAAGGCCATACAGTGACCTATAGTTGTTAATTTCTGAGTCATTTGGTCTCTTGTGGAGAGTTGTCTCTTTTGGCAATCATACCACATCTTCTTATTCTTAAATTAACTGATAGTCGGATGTACAGACTGGAAACATCACCTACTAATTTTGTAGGTGTGAAATACAAACAACCGAGGGGGTGGACAGGGGTAAGAGAATATGGGAATGAGGGGGTGGGAAGTGAGTCAGGGGGGAAGGGAAGCAGGAATCAGGGGACGGGAACCAGGGGTAGAGAGGGAGTAAAAATAGGGATGTTCTGGGAAAATGTTTTTGACTGATTTTTGTCTGGAAGCAAGGGGGAGGAAAGTAGGAGAAGGGGAAGGGAATAGAGAGTAAGAGTGGAGGGAAGTGGGAGTTGTGGTAGGGAATCAAGGACCTCCTATCCAACCTCTCACAACTGAATTCAGCTCCTTTTAACCACTTCTTAAAATTCCTTATTTGACCTTTCTGTATTACTATCCTGGAAACCTTGTTTATCAGCATATATTTTTGATAAATACAATGATAAGTATTCCAGATAAAAAAGACTACTCCTCCTCAAACCTATATACAGTACCTTCCAACCACTTCCTTCATTGTCTTGACAGCCATTACTGTCGTGGGTGCCATTCCTCCAAAGGCCATGGCCATCTCCTTAATAACATTAGTATTGTCCTCAAACAAAACCCTGAAGCCAGCATTGACTATAGCTATATCATCTTCCCTTCTGTTGGCTTGCTTGTATCCTCCAAAGTATTCATTCTATAAAATTACCATTTAAAATTAATCAATATTCAAGTGGTAAAACGTTAATTTTGAAAATCAATGTCTGTTTCCTCCTGTTTAATGTAAATAGAGAATTCTTAACCAAAAAAAATCATTTTTAAGAGATGGTATGAGACAAATTAGATTGGAGGGAGAAATGGAAAAACTTTTGGTCTGGATTATGAGAATATAGAAATGTTGTTAAACTAGCAATCAGAGAATTGATTGATTGATGACTACTTAATGTCGAGTGGCAAATTCAGGATAATATCATGTAAATCTGATATTAATATTTCCTTTTTTCATGTGCTCGCTCAGGGGGTAACAGTTTGAAGGAATACACATTACCTTATCAGGAAATATTGACATATCTTGAATTTATAGTGAGATGAGAGTTATTGCTCATTGTAAGAAGACATGGCTGTGATTTTGAGATGAAGAACAGCAATAAAAGCACATTTACCGGTATGTTGCTTTTGGTTTTTCCATGTGTGTGCAGTAGTTTTGTGTCATGAAATGATACACCATATCCTTTCTTTTTTCATTATATTATTAAAACTCCATGACAACCAGTCTTTATCTTCTTATATTAAATGCCATGTGCTAAGTGGAATAGAAGCAAATAACATATAAAGTCTTTGCTCAATGACCTTCTGCTATCTTGAGTCCATCGAGAATGTTAAATAACTGTTGAAATGGAAAAGAAAAGATATGGTGAAATGATTTATTAAAAAACTTACATACAAAAAGAAAGATGTGATTGCCAATGAGACAACTCTCTACAAGAGACCAAATGAGACAGACTTTACATACACATGATAAAACCAAAATCAAAGGAAAAGCTTGTATTGCTGTTATTCACTTTAAAATCACTTTATACATGAAGCAAAAGCTAACACCTCACTGCAAGTTCACGATAACACTAGTTTGATGGAGTTTAATTGACTAATATAGATAAAGCTATGATGTGCATCAAAAACTGACACAAATGTGGGGTAATATTAAAAACTTGAAATAGCAAAGAAATCTTACAAATATTAATCAACTTTATAAAAATAAGATGTGAGATGATTGCCAATGAGACAACTATCAAACAAAGTTCAAATGAAGTGGATGTAAGCAATTATAGGCAACCGTACGGTCTTCAACAATGAGAAAAACCCACATATAGTCAGCTATAAAAGGCCCCGACATGAAAAATATGAAACAATTCAATTGACAAAACTAATGGCATAAATTGTAACAAACAAATATGACAGACATGACCCAACAATTATCACTGAATTACAGGCTCCTGACATGGGACAGGCACATAAAGAATGTGACAGGGTTAAACATGTTTGTGAGCGCTCAACCCTCCACCTAACCTGGGACAGTGGTGTAACAGTACAACATAAGAACACACTATAAAAATCATTTGAAAAAGGCTTAACTCATCAGATCGATATATACAAAGTAGAAAAACATCAAACAAAAACATATACCGATGTAGCAGGGTATTTATCCATACCTCATCCCTAACAACAAAAAAGACACTAAGTCATCATATTGAGCTTACAAAATGGACAAGACGAAAACCATACTTACTTTCCTAGTAAATGGTACAGTAACATTGAGTAAAACCTCATCTGATTTTAAAGCTGTCTTTCTGTATCCCAGGAAAAACTTATCATCCATTGTTATGTTTCTCTTTGAACCACCTGGAAATACATTTTATGATAATGAAAAATACATTTTATAATGAAAATGTGGAGATGTGGGTAAAGAACAAAGAAAAAGCAATATAAAATCACAATAAACTACAAGTCATCATATAGTTTACAATTATGGACAAGAGACCAAAAACATATCTTAAGCTCTAAAACTACACAAATATAGGACAGATGAAGATAAAGTGGATACCTCAGGCTATTCCATTTATTTGGATGTAGAAGTGCAGGAAGGGACATCTATATTACCCCAGAAAACCCAAAAACTTACTGTGAGTAGTTTGGACTACATCAAATTTGTAAACAACAATAAATGATCAATGGCCCAAGTCCAAAAATAAAATATCTTCCTTCCCTCCCACATCCATTGTAATGGACTAGTCCTTATTGGTAGGGTTTTGTTATGCTAAATTCATTTTATCATTCAATTGTATGATTCTTTTCCGCTAAAAACTCTTAAAAAAAATATTTGGCATAATCTACAACCCCTCCTTTACACCAACATTTTTTTTGGTACAATCTAAGATTTTAAATTTGGACAAAAAGATAACCTATTTATATAACCCAAGACCAAAAATTTGGGCAAAAGATAATCTATTTATATAACCCAAGACCAAAAATTTGGACAAAAGATAATCTATTTATATAACCCAAGACCAAAAATTTGGACAAAAAGATAACCTATTTATATAACCCAAGACCAAAAATTTGGGCAAAAGATAATCTATTTATATAACCCAAGACCAAACATTTGGACAAAAGATGATCTATTGTTTAGTCTCTATCATGCATTAGATTGTTTTTATAAAGACTTGTTACCTGCAGATTCTACCTGGAGAACAGCACCAGCAGCAAGAAACAGGGGGTTTAGATCTGATATAGGACTAGCTGTGATTATGTTACCTCCAACAGCCTAAAATATATCAAGTTGATCTTTTGAACACCAGAGTATTTGTATAAATCATTCAAATCTATAATTCTTTTCTTTTGTATGAAAAAAAAAATACTAATAAGACCTGCTCAATTCAGTATAGATAATAAATAATTTTTATTGAAAGAGCATTTCTTTAAAAATCTATTGAACTTTTGACAACAATATATGGTATAGAATGTAGAATAAACTTTTGCCATAGAGATATGTCTTGAATGTCAGCAGGAAATTCAGAAAAAGACAATCTGATGGGCAGCAAGATTGTTAATTAATTCAAAGGACTGGACCATGACATAGAGGGCAACGTGTCAAAATGATCGTCAAACTGAAATGTGCTGCTTTAGAAATAGAGAAGAGGCCAGGAAAATATAGCTAACAAGCGATTGACATAATTAGGGTTTTGATAACATTTTTATGCAATCTCTACCCCCCCAAAATTTTGTTACTCCATTTATCTGTCAAACTTACAGCCACATTCCTGATTTGGTGTCCAGCAAACCATCGTAATATTTCTACTATAGCTTGGAAAACTCTGGTCTGGTAATCTATAATGGAATGGAAAAAAAAACATGTTTTTACACATCTTCAAGACTTTTTTAGAATATGAATGACAAATTAACTTAGATGACTTAATTTGTCCTAGTTGGTTTCCACTACTTTCTGTCGGTCAAATAACAGAAATTTGATTGGTTTTAGTAAAGCAATATCATATTACTACTTTGCACTTGTAATAGAAAAGAAAGGATAATACTATATTGTAAGCACATATTTCCTTTCATATTTTTTTTTTACCAGTCAAATTTTTTTTACTTTAAGTGAAAAAAAATCTTAAAAAATGGGTTAATAATACATGTATTTATTTTTATGCCTTTAAAATGTATTCTATCTCTATCAATGTTTATACAGATGACTCAAACTTGATATCAAAATACGACCTTGAACCTCTCATTCCTTCTCTTCTATCAATGTCTTAACTATATTCTCGATAACATACTTTTACTTCAGAATTGTTGTGATGATTTATTTATTTGAAAAATACCATCAAAATTTCTGATTTTACAGTATTACCCAAACCTTAACCCTATCTATGAACCTGACCCATATTACCTAGCAGCTCCTCTATTAGTGTCTTTAATGTATTCTCTATATCAGTTTAAGTTACAGATGACCCAAACTTGACCCTTATCTGTGACCCTTGACCCCATATTACCTGGCAGCTCCTTTATTAGTGTCTTTAATGTATTCTCTATATCAGTTTAAGTTACATGTGACCCAAACTTAACCCTTATTGGTGACCCTTGACCCCACATTACCTGGCAGCTCCTTTATCAGTGTCTTTAATGTATTCTCTATATCAGTTAGCGTCACAGATGACCCAAACTTGACACCATTATCTAGTTGTGTAATTTGGTTGAGCTCTGCTATGTGAGTACAGCCGATGATAACTGGGTAATTCATATTCTTTAACTTTACTTCTAAACCTGTGTAACCAAAAACAACATATTTTCAGTAAGAGAAAAACAGAAATCTTTATAGTGCATGCTGATTTTGCTTTTAAAACAAAAAGAAAACTGTAATTTACATATGGGTTGACCCATACTGATGCTTTATTCACAAATGCAACAGCATTGCAATGCAAACATAAGTTTTTCTCATTATTTTTGTGCTCATTAAAAAAAAATAGAGAGCACATGCTGACCCTGCTTTCTAAAACAAGTCTAACATTTTAGGTACTAAGGTAAGATAAAGATAGGCTGATGATTTATATCCAAAAATTTCAATATTTGAATCAAGTAGACATGTTCTTTTGTTCGTGTGTTGCTGTCAAATTAATATGAACCTCACATCTCCCTTTTAATAATACTGGTTAACTAAAAAGGATTATGGTGATAAGGCTTTGCACAACATGCTATGTAACATTTTTCAGTTTAAACACAGACTTGTAAGTGAAGAGAAATGAAAAGTATATACCGACTTCTGTATTTCCTATGACAAGTTTGGCATCAGGGTGTTTCCCTTTTAAGTCTAGTAGTTGTTTAAGTGTTGTTGGTCTGTACCATTCTACCTTCTCTCCTTTGAAGAAAATATTTTCTACATCAAATTGGTCAGTCTGAAGATAAAAAATAAACAAAAATAAACAACAAATTGACTGATGAAAAGTTTCACAAAAACATTTTTTGTCGAATCCTCGGAAGACTGCAGGATTGTCTGTTATGTATAAAACTATCATGGTGAGCTTAAATGAGACTTGATTGTGTTTTATATCTTAATTCTAGAGGAAAGATACAATTTTGTGTATAATTTAATATCAGATATTTACCCGTAATTCTGGAGGGAAAATAGGATCCTGTGTTGAATCTAATGGTAAATATTCACTTGTCTGGCCATTCTCTGTCTGTAATAACAAAAAAACATGAAATTTTATTTATTGTAGCTCTGGGTTGATACAGTTGGTGGTGGACTATTAGTCTCTGTGGGTATCATTAGCTTATCAGTCAGTGATTTGGTACTGACATGATTTATAATGTACCTTTCTTAAATTGTGCGATTATAAATAATGAAATTATTAAGATACTAAGGTTCAAACTCCCTCAGTCAAAGTTGATAAATTTGGCTATAATTTTTAGGTCCATTTTAATCATATATCTTCAAATGTTTCAAGTCTTATACATCCTTGGCAATTAAATATTTGTCTTTGAGTGTTTCCTAATAAAGCGCTTCAGATGCATATATTTATAAATTGTTTATTTTGATTTTTATCAATGTCTAGCGAATTTTCTGCTAAAATAAATGTACAGGCTTTCTTGAACTTGCAATCAAATGTGACCTTTTGCTCTGGATTGAAGGCCTCACTTCTACTTTGGTGTGAAGAACAGGAATTAAAGTGCTATTCTTGAGGCCCCTCATGGGGGTGTCCAAGTAATCACATAATCACAATTCAAATAATCAAAAATACAGTCCTAGATTATCAAATAATCAAATAATTATGAAATATTTGGGCTTGTAATCAAATAATCACTATCAAAAATGGCCAAGTAATCACATAATCAAAAACCCCATGTGAAGGCTCATTCTTTAGCTTTGTATTTTGTCAAATGCAGAAAGTAATTACCAGTAACTGCCACAAACAAGAATGCACTCATTTTCATACAATAAGGTGTAGGTGTCTGACAAATCTTAAAACTGTGCATATGTTACAACTCATCAATTTTGAGTTCCTGGCCTAATATGAAGTCATTCTGTTCTGTAGTATTGGAGAAATATGAGACAAATTTTTTAAATTTAATCAACATATTGAATCAAAGAGCTGAAAGCTCTGAGGAAAAATGACGCCACTGTCTCAAATATTGTGATATTTTTTTAATATGCAAGTCTTGATTTTCACATACCGTAATAAGTTTAACATTGCAACATGTCTCGTAAGCATATAATTGATATTCGTATATGTGTCTGTTTTTTCAGTACAAATGAATAGGTCAAGACTACCTGAATGATCTACAGTATCCAATAACTACTGGCTGTTTTTTTGTATAAATAAATAGGTCAAGACTACCGGAATGATCTACAATATCCAATGACTACTGGCTGTTCTTTTGTACATATAAATAAAGACTACCTGAATGATCTAAAGTATTCTAAGTAATGTGATTTTTTTCTTGCAATTACATTTTTCTAAATCAAGAATATAGACTACTTGTATCCTTTTCAAACCAAATGATTATGAAGAGCCTGTTGTTAGCAAGCTCTTATACCCCACATACTCATTAAATAAGTTACTAGTGACCTAGTTATTTCTGTTACTTGAAGCAAATTATATTTCTGTATATTTAGACAACAGTATAATATTGTTTTACTAGTTTTATTTCACCTTGAAGATAAGACAAATAGGGATACTCCTTCGATTTTTTATTTCATGTCAGTCAGGTCGCTTTATATGAAACTTTTAACCACTTCTCTGCCATATTGTTATTTTATAACAACTCTGCCCTTGACCATGTTGACCCATGTAATTGATATTCATTCTTTAACCATATATCATAGTCAGTTAGTTTTTGATTTTGCACTCCCACACCACCTTTCATGTCTTTCAGGTCAAATGTCTGTCTCCATTTAAGTTAATGACATTGAACAATCATGGTATTAAACACAATTTCAATAGTGATTATGCTGTTCTCGTGGGTCACTATATATTCAACTTGGGTAGCATTCCAGTTATTGAAGATTTGTGTCAGATTAGAACAATGATCAAGATCTTTAGGAATGGATCTTATAATTTAATATGGAGCCATAGTATGGGACCCCTACACGGTAACAAAAAAAAAACAAGCTTGAAAGGATACAATGTCAAGCGGCAAAATCTATCACCAGAGATTACAAGTCAAAAGATAACTAGAGGATGGACGGGATACGTCTCTAAAATGCTTGCTGAACTGGAACTACAGCAAGATCTCCAGACAAGACGAACAAAGCGTTGAAGCCAGAAGTTAATATTTATGTAAAAAGTAGTTGAGGGGCTGATTCCCACTATTGAACCATACTGTCATTCTATAATATCATTGCGTAAATATTTCTGTATTGGCCTTGTTATTGGTCCATGTCTTGGGTGTATTGGTCTGAGGCAAAGCGGAAGGCCAATACTGCTGGCCGAGGACCAATAATAAGGCCAATACAGAAATACACGTAATAGTATCTTTATTAATTAACTACAGTGTTACAATATTTTTTTTATTTCATTTCACAAGAGATAAACTTTTTATACCTTGAAGTGGAACTATCCAAATCTCAGTTTCCTTTTATAAGATGCAATATCTAATGATTCGGTGCCGTTTGACTGCTGGCTGAGAACCAATAATAAGGCCAATACAGAAATACATGTAATAGTATCTTTATTAATTAACTACAGTGTTACAATATTTTTTTTATTTCATTTCACAAGAGATAAACATTTTTGCCTTGAAGTGGAACTATCCAAATCTCAGTTTCTTTTTATAAGATGCAATATCTAATGATTCGGTGCCGTTTGAAGTATCTTCAGCCTTTTCTCATCTGATGAATTTTTCTACCCTTTCCAGTCACTATAAAGTGTTACAACTTTAATTAAGACACAACACATAAATAGTAATTGGAAAGGTACTGCCATTGCATGTGTAATGCAAATATATTTTTAAAAAAAATAATGTAAGAGTTGAAATTGATACAACTATCCATAAGCCATTTGACCAAAGAACGAAGATTTGCACAATTACAGAATGCATATTCCTGGTTCGGGTTTAAAAATAATCGACCGTTTAAATACAAAACATGAGAAGCGACAGTAAACAGTAAAAACCAATTTGTACCATCGACATTCTGAAATTATGAGGTCGTCAAGAAATGAACTTTGTGATAATTTACTCATTCCCCAAACCTGAAATAATCCCATCGTCTACTTTCAAAATGCTTTTTAAATGAATGGGACCGTCTTTAACCTAAAATATATGCCATACTGAACGTTTCAGCTTGTTTATGGTGAGTAAACCTTACAAACAACTGTTTACTTTCAGTTTGAGTTTATCGTGACTTACGATCTAAAAACTAGAGACGTTCCGAAATCCTGTTTTGTAAACAAAGATTCATACGCAAATCTGGATAAAGACCAGTTCTATCCAATGGATATCAAAATGATTCCGATTTTCACTTTTTTTAATGATTGTAAAGTTGAAATGGCATGAAAGGCTGACATTATTTAGGAGAACTATTTTGTCTAGCGATTGCTGATCATTGGAGGGTAAAAAGTCCAACACCATAACAAAACAGATCTATTAATCATGTATACATACCGATTGTTTACAATTGTAAGACATGTGCATAAAAGTGAAAGCTCGAATAAATATGAAAAATATAACAAAGGGATAGCTCCAAATACCATTTAATAACAAAAAACATATGGAAAGGTCAAGATATCTTTTTGGTAAATAAAATAAAGTATTTAAACTGGTTCCCGTCCGACTACAACACTTTGTTCGAGTGTAGCGTAATACAAGCAGTTTCCAGTTAGTATGTAAAATAGTAAATATGAAACCCAGTGCGGTAGGCGGAGGCAATAATCGTCTTCCGTAAGTTCTGGTCAATGGTATCGGAAACATGCCGCTGATAGCATCATTTTCCAAAAATGTGGCAAACAGGAAGTAGGTATTTGATACATCCAAAAAGTGCTCACGCATTACAACTCATCAATGTCAAGCTGCTGACCAAGTTTACAGACATCCTGTTTAGTGTTGTAAAATAAAGAATGACTATCATATTTTTGTACAAACAGACCATTCAACAGACACAGACAAACAAGATATTGATCATTGTTGCTACATACATGAAAAGTTTCTCTCTATCTATTCTAGTTTGTGAGATATTAGGCAAAAGATTGGTAAAAATCTTTATTTAATGGCAAAAACTCATTTGAAAAAGATGTCCTATAGTTTTGATGGAAATAGAAAATAGGTACATCTCAACATTTTGAACATTTCTGCCCCTATCAAATTTTCTCTATCCATAGCTGTTTTCAAGATAATAGACAAAACAATGCATTTTACCGCCTCGTTCTATTATTAGCCATGACCGCCATGATGGTTGACGAGCGGGGTCATCTGACACATTTTTTAAACTAAATATCCCAATGATGATTGTGACCAAGTTTGGTTAAATTTGGCCTGGTACTTTCAGAGGCAAAGATTTTTGTAACAGTAAATGGACGACAAGTGAGGAGAAAGGCTTGCTTGGCCCTTTTGGCCAAGTGAACATAAAAATGGAATTAGGAAAAGTTGCAAATGTATGCAACAAATGTAATAAGCATACGTTGTTTAGATTAGACGTAGCAGAAGATAGAAGCACTTAAGTGTCCCAAATTAAAAGTAGGAACTGTATACTTACTCCATTTTCTATAACACCATTAGTACATTTTCCTGTGTTTTTACAACAATTTTCTCCCATCTGACAAAACTCCTTCCAATAGAAAAAACACACAAATTACATACTTTTTTTATATCAACATTCTTAACAATTATCTCAAGTTCTGTATTTCAAAAAAAAAACTTTTTTAATATCCTTGTAATATGAAATCTATTTTCATGTGGATCAATGCACCTTGAGCAGCAGGAAAATCCATCTTGAAGTTCAGATTTACATCAAAAGGACCAGAAGTTAAGGATTTATATCATGCCACTAAAAAAAAGAATTATTTTCCTTTGACATTTCACTGTTTTCTCAACCATGGCAGCTTGGTGAAAGTACCCCAATGCAGTCCTCCTTAAGTTCTTTTTAAACCAAAGTCCTATGAAGAAAGTATGACATAAGTTTTTTAAGCCAAAAAAAAAAATCAACACTTTAACTTATTAAAAACTGTGCACAAGTTATACTTATACTAATATCCAAATATGACATTTTGACAATGCTGTTGTTAAAATTCATTTGTTTGGCCAAAAATAAATAAAAAATCAGAGTTTTCAGTTGGAATAATTTTTTAAATTTTACTTGTAAATATGCAAGAGTGTATATACTAATTTAAACCTATTGACATTTGGTTTTCTTTAAAACTAAATGCGGGATGGCAAATTCAGCATTTTCTCTATTTATCAAGGGACATAACTCTACAAAAGTGAAAGTGATGAAATCAAAATTCAAACTTGATCTGTGTTTCCTGGTAAAAAGTATTTTGTATATAAGTTTCATTACATTTGGTCAAGACAAATTATAGTTAGAGAATGGAAACAAATTTCTGGACGAACATACTGAAGAACATACGGAGGGACAGGGGTTAACCTTAATGCCCCAATCGCCTAGCAGCTGGGGCATAAAAAGAGCCCCCATACCCCCTGTGTTTACTACTGGAACAACCCTAACATTCAAATTGCCTATATGGCTATTTTATAATAAGATAAAAACATTTTCAGAAGCAAACCCTACCTTTGTAAATGATTTAAATCCTTCCAGTATAGGTCTGTAGCCAGTACATCTACATAGGTTACCTGCAAGTATATAAACATTATTATGTCTATAGATTTCAAGGTGTTAAAAAAATCTTTGATTCTATCAGAGGATAGGACTTCAGCAAAAAAAACCAAATTCAGTTCAGGGGGAGATAATTTAACAGATATTACTTCTGTTCTGTAAAATATCATGAAAACAAGAACAGGAGAACCCTTTTACTTTTCATTTTCTACATGAGATTGATTGAAAAATATCTCCTCCAAAATGCAAGTAAAATATCAAATAGTATCATAACTGTTTTTATAAATTTAACTTATAATTATTTCCCCTATAAAATCAACATTTAATATTCCATCACAAATGTTTCTCAAAAAGTAGTATGAATACATTTTTTTAATCAATTTGATTTGGAATGCAGATACATTGAACTATTTTTGTAAAAAAAAAATTTAAATTCTGTGTTAAATATATATACTGTGGATTCATTGTTATTCGTGGTATACCAATTTTCGTGGGTTTCGTGGGTCACAGCGAACCACGAATTTAAGAATTCAACGAAGAATAATCCCGAGAAATGTGTATGGAGTCGGATGTTTATTTCCGGTTATGTTATGCAGTTCTAGTATAGTGTTGACTAGCGATAAACATTGTAACATAACACGCGTTTTTAACGATAGAAGATACAAGTATTTTGATTAAATCAATAATAAATATATCGAATATCAGTGATACTTTACTTTTTAAAAATTGATTAAAACTGTTCATGGAAAATTACTGCAAGTTGTTAATTACCGTGTCATAGTTTGGTTTACTGGGGATTAAAAATCAACAGGATTAAGTACGGGGATATTGCCCGTAGGTAATATTGTTTATGACAGGAACATTTATTTTCACACCTTTTACTTATATGACTGTTTATTATATCGTGATTAGGGAAATGAGCTTTCAATCATAGAGTTTTGAATGCCTTATAAAATTCCGACAAGAATTTATAAATTGTAAAACAAACAAATAGTTAGTTGTCTCTGTTCATTATTGTAATAGAAGTTTTCAATGAACCCTTTAATATAGAATGACCAAGCGTGGATTTTGACAATTCAAAACTTTTTCAATGAATTCCTTCTTTTTTGTTTGTTTCATTATTGATCAAACAAGGAGGTAATATGATCTCCTTAATCAAAAAGAAATCCACGAATTACGTATCTGATTTTTTTTTTTTTGTAATCAGCGATCCACGAATTTACGTATACCACGAAACGTCTTTTTTTCTCTATCCACGAAAATTAATACCCACGAAAATAAATGAATCCACAGTATTGGAAAACAGTTGAAAAGAATTCCAAACTATCCAAGATTTTTCCCGAGCCTCCCATGATAGCTTTTAGGCAACCCAATAGTCTGCGGAACCTGCTGGTGCGGGCTGAAGTGTCTGATAATAGAAGTACTTCTGGAGAATGTCGTTCGTGTGATGAAAAACGCTGCAAATGCTGCCTACAGATGCATCACTCATCAACTTTTCACAGTAAGGCAACCGAAAATAACTATAGGATATTTTGCAATGTTAACTGCAAAAGTATGAATGTTATTTACATTCTAGAATGTTCGGTTTGAGGCCTCCAATATGTTGGTGAGTCAAAGCAGCCTTTCCACAAACGCCTCAATGGCCATAGGAGTGATATCTCTAAGAAGCCACTTCTCCCAGTTTCTCAGCATTTCAGACAGTCTGGTCACAAACTTGATGACTTTAACCCCATGAAGATCCTAGTGATTGAACAGAACATTCACTGGAGTGATGCCCAGCTACAGGTTGGGGAAAGCTTTTGGATAAAGGAACTAAATGTACATCATCCAAACGGCATCAATAAAAAATACTAAGTTTTATTTTTCACTCATTTTGGGATGTAAATATACACAGTCACATATATTTGAGTATTGAGTTTTGTTTTATATTATGATGTTCAGGATTTTGGATTAAATCAATAGACCAAAACTTACCTGTATTATTGAGCTATTTTTATACGACCGCAAAAAAATTTTGTGGTCGTATATTGGTATGACGTTGGCGCGTCGTCGTCGTCCGGCGTCGTCGTCCGAAGACACATTGGTTTTCGCACTCTAACTTTAGTTTAAGTGAATGGATCTTTTTGAAATTTTACCATAAGGTTAAATACCACAAAAGGAAGGTTGGGATTGATTTTGGGAGTTATGGTACCAACAGTTAAGGAATTAGGGGCCAAAAAGGGGCCAAAAATAAGCATTTTCTAGTTTCCAGACAATAACTGTGGAACGGTGTATGGATCTCTCTGAAATTATACTACAAGTTTCCATACCACAAAGGGATGGTTAGGATTTGCTTTGGGGGGTTATGGCTCAAACCATTTAGGAATTAGGGGCAAAAAAGGGGGAAAAACAAGGTTGTCCTGGTTAATGGACAAATACTTTAGTACAAAACATAATTTAAAGCAGTGTAAGGGAGATAAATCAAATACATCATTGAAATTATCTCCCTTACACTGCTTTTAAATTATGTATAAAGTAATGGTTAATGAACAATAAAGATAATTTAAAACAGTGTAAGGGAGGTAATCCAAATACAACGTTTTGGTTACTTCCCTTACACTGCTTTTAAATTATGTTTAAAGAAATGCATATTTATAAAGGAAGACCAGTAAAAATATCTGCAAATGTTGCATCATTTTTTTTTACAAAAAAATCCATATGAAAGATTTGACACTATATTTTTAATTCTATTATAAAATAGATTAAGTGAGCACTATGGTAAATTTAAATGGGTAATTATGGTTGCCAACTCCATTGGAAATTTGAATTGAGATTATGACCATATCTTGAGGGAAAGAATTTTTTGGGGGGAAAAAAGGGGGGGGGATATAAAGAAATTGTGGGGGGGTCAATTTTTTCTCATTTTAGATTTCAGAAATTAAAAAGAATTATTCTTCAAATATTATTTTTTTTTCTAATTTCAAATATTGAAAAATTTCAAGAAGTAATCTTTAATTGCACAGTATGGCGCATTAGATTTGTAAAATCTTTGATCACATTTATTTATTTGTTATGCCGAATCTAACAGTGTATTTAGATTTTTAATTTTGGGTCCAGTTTTCAAAATAGTCTACATTAAGGTCCAAAGGGTCCAAAATTAAACTTAGTTTGATTTTAACAAAAATTGAATTCTTGGGGTTCTTTGATATGCTGAATCTAAAAATGTGTTTAGATTTTTGATTATGGACCCAGTTTTCAAGTTGGTCCAAGTTGGGGTCCAAAATTAAACTTTTTTTGATTTCAACAAAAATTGAATATATGGGGTTCTTTGATATGCTGAATCTAACCATGAATTTAGATTTTTATTTATGGGCCCCGCTATCAAATTGGTTCATATTGAGGTCAAAAGGGTCCAAAATTACTTTGTTTGATTTCAACAAAAATTGAATTATTGGGGTTCTTTGATATTCCAAATCTAACCGTGTATTTAGATTTTTAATTTTAAGTCCCATTTTTTAAATTGGTCTACATTAAGGTCCAAAGGGTCCAAAATTAAACTTAGTTTGATTTTAGCAAAAATTGAATTCTTGGGGTTCTTTGATATGCTGAATCTAAACATGTGTTTAGATTTTTGATTATGGGCCCAGTTTTCAAGTTTGTCCAAGTTGGGGTCCAAAATTAAACTTTGTTTGATTTTAACAAAAATTGAATATATGGGGTTCTTTGATATGCTGAATCTAACCATGTATTTTGATTTTGGACATTGGACCATAACAGGTAAATTAAAAAAATTCAAGTTCTTAGACCACATTCTTTCTGTGTCAGAAACCAATGCTGTGTCAAATATTTAATAACAATCCAAATTCAGAGCTGTATCAAGCTTGAATGTTGTGTCCATACTTGTCCCAACTGTTCAGGGTTCGACCTCTGCGGTTGTATCAAGCTGCTCCCCAGCGAAGCATTTTATTATACATATAATCAGTATTGTTAAAATAATTGACACTGAAGAAGGCTATTTGTTAAGCCGAAATATTTGTCAACACGATTTAATAACAACATCTTCGTATAATACCATCTTATATAAGTATCGTTGTGCAAATCTCTAGACTTATATATTGTCTTATCCACCTTTAATCAATATAATATATTCCTGAAATGTTCTCTGTAAAAATAAAAATGCTTCTTAGTATTTTCTGCTATAAAAGATGCAGTAATATATAACTGTTTTCTCTTTTTTTTCCCACCATAATTAAACTTTGAAAACGAAATATATCAATGTTTTATAGTATAAACTTTAACTTGTACTATTAAGTATTTTAAATACAAAGTATACCTTCAAATGCATTTTCCATTTCTGCTCCAGTAGGTTGTGGATTATTTCTCAGCAGTGTGTACATGGACATGACAATACCCGGAGTACAGAATCCACACTGTGAACCATGTGACTTGGCTATTCTCTCCTATAAAACAAAGGTTAAACATGGCAATACCTGGAGTACAGAACCTACAATGTGAACCATGTGACTTGGCTATTCTCTCCTATAAAACAAAGGTTAAACATGACAATACCTGGAGTACAGAACCCACACTGTGATCCATGTGACTTGGCTATTCTCTCCTATAAAACAAAGGTTAAACAGTTGACATGACAATACCTGGAGTACAGAACCCACACTGTGAACCATGAAGCTATTCTCTCCTATAAAACAAAGGTTAAACAGTTGTCAAGACAATACTTGGAGTACAGAACCCACACTGTGATCCATGTGACTTGGCTATTCTCTCCTATAAAACAAAGGTTAAACAGTTGTCATGACAATACCTGGAGTACAGAACCCACACTGTGATCCATGTGACTAGGCTATTCTCTCCTATAAAACAAAGGTTAAACAGTTGTCAAGACAATACCTGGAGTACTGAACCCACACTGTGATCCATGTGACTTGGCTATTCTCTCCTTTAAAACAAAGGTTAAACAGTTGTCAAGACAATACCTGGAGTACAGAACCCACACTGTGATCCATGTGACTAGGCTATTCTCTCCTATAAAACAAAGGTTAAACAGTTGACATGACAATACCTGGAGTACAGAACCCACACTGTGAACCATGTGACTTGGCTATTCTCTCCTATAAAGCAAAGGTTAAACAGTTGACATGACAATACCTGGAGTACAGAACCCACACTGTGAACCATGAAGCTATTCTCTCCTATAAAACAAAGGTTAAACAGTTGTCAAGACAATACTTGGAGTACAGAACCCACACTGTGATCCATGTGACTTGGCTATTCTCTCCTATAAAGCAAAGGTTAAACAGTTGTCAAGACAATACCTGGAGTACTGAACCCACACTGTGATCCATGTGACTTGGCTATTCTCTCCTTTAAAACAAAGGTTAAACAGTTGTCAAGACAATACCTGGAGTACAGAACCCACACTGTGATCCATGTGACTTGGCTATTCTCTCCTATAAAACAAAGGTTAAACAGTTGTCATGACAATACCTGGAGTACAGAACCCACACTGTGATCCATGTGACTAGGCTATTCTCTCCTATAAAACAAAGGTTAAACAGTTGTCATGACAATACCCGGAGTACAGAACCCACACTGTAAACCATGTAACTTAGCTATTCTCTCCTATAAAACAAAGGTTAAACAGTTGTCAAGACAATACCTGGAGTACAGAACCCACACTGTGATCCATGTGACTTGGCTATTCTCTCCTATAAAACAAAGGTTAAACAGTTGGCATGACAATACCTGGAGTACAGAACCCACACTGTGATCCATGTGACTTGGCTATTCTCTCCTATAAAACAAAGGTTAAACAGTTGACATGACAATACCTGGAGTACAGAACCCACACTGTGAACCATGTAACTTAGCTATTCTCTCCTATAAAACAAAGGTTAAACAGTTGTCATGACAATACCTTGAGTACAGAACCCACACTGTGATCCATGTGAATTGGCTATTCTCTCCTATAAGGCAAAGGTTAAATAGTTGCCATGAAAAAAAACCAAAGTATTCTAGATGAAGACACTACATCAAGTAAACATTTTATCTTACATTCACATCATATTGACTTTGGTGGATAGTTGTCTCATTGGCACTCATACCACATCTCCTTACTTTTATTTTTATAATGAAATGATTTAATTTCTCCATTTTAATCTTGAAATCATCTTTTAAAGTCACAGAAACGATATGTTATAGCCTCATACAACCTTTTAGGGGAAATTAACAAAGTAATATATCAATTTCAAAGGTTCTTACACATCTTCAAAATTTGGTAAACATGATTTATATAAAATTTTAATTCCACACTTACTGGCTAATTATTTGAACCGAGGGAATTTATAATAATAGACATATTATATGACCTGCACTGAGTGAATTCCATCCAATATGTTGAAAACTCTTTAACAGTTGTGAGTCATTCAATATTCATAACCACAACTTAATCCATCTGACACTGCTTAACTGTACTGGGTGAAGTCCATTCTGCATGCTGCCTTATAATTGTGTTGTACAACTACCTCCCCCAAAACAATAACCCATGACCATAGCTTAATCCATCTGACGCACCTTACCTGTACTTGGCGAAGTCCATACTGTATGCTGCCTTATAATTGTGTTGTAAAACTACCTCCCCAAAACAATAACCCATGACCATAGCTTAATCCATCTGACACACCTTACCTGTGCTTGGTGAAGTCCATTCTGTACGCTGCCTTATAATTGTGTTGTAAAACTACCTCCCCCAAAACAATAACCCATGACCATAGCTTAATCCATCTGACACACCTTACCTGTGCTTGGTGAAGTCCATTCTGTATGCTGCCTTATAATTGTGTTGTAAAACTACCTCCCCCAAAACAATAACCCATGACCATAGCTTAATCCATCTGACACACCTTACCTGTGCTTGGTGAAGTCCATTCTGTATGCTGCCTTATAATTGTGTTGTAAAACTACCTCCCCCAAAACAATAACCCATGACCCTACCTTATTCAATCTGACACACCTTACCTGTACTTTGGTTTACTTTTATAAATTTTGACTTGGATGGAGAGTTGTCTCATTGGCACTCATACCACATCTTCTTATATCTATTGGTGAAGTCCATTCTGTATGATGCCTTATAATTGTGTTGTACAACTACCTCCCCCAAAACAATAAGCCATGACCCTACCTTATTCCATCTGACACACCTTACCTGTACTGGGTGAAGTCCATTCTGTATGCTGCCTTATAATTGTGTTGTAAAACTACCTCCCCCAAAACAATAACCCATGACCATAGCTTAATCCATCTGACACTTCTTAACTGTACTTGGTGAAGTCCATTCTGTATGATGCCTTATAATTGTGTTGTAAAACTACCTCCCCCAAAACAATAACCCATGACCCTACCTTATTCAATCTGACACACCTTACCTGTACTTTGGTTTACTTTTATAAATTTTGACTTGGATGGAGAGTTGTCTCATTGGCACTCATACCACATCTTCTTATATCTATTGGTGAAGTCCATTCTGTATGATGCCTTATAATTGTGTTGTACAACTACCTCCCCCAAAACAATAAGCCATGACCCTACCTTATTCCATCTGACACACCTTACCTGTACTGGGTGAAGTCCATTCTGTATGCTGCCAATTCCTTCCACAGTGGTGACTGCCATTCCATGAAGTGAACATATTGGTATAAGGCAAGCATTGGCAGAAAAATGTCTACAAATAAAAAGTCAATATATTCTTTAAGCAGTCAGTTTCAATTACTTTCAATAATGAATGTTTAACGACATTTTCTCATTTGTAACAGTCTCTTAATGTTAGGGTTCTGATATAAAAAAAAAAGCTGTTCCCTTATTAAAGTAGTTTTTAAAATATAAGTATGAAAAATCCATTTGATTATACAATTAACTATTTTTTTTTCATCTGTGAAATAAATTTTAAAATCCTCTCTGAAATTATTGAACCTATTTCCTTGCAATTACAAATGTATTTTAAATTTTAATATGCATTTATTTATACTGCAACTAGTTGTGATTATTTCCTAAATATAGTAACAAAGCTATATTTTTTGCAATGTCAATTTCATCATGGAACACCTTTTCCACAATAAGGGGTTCATAAAGGGATGAAAATAAGTTTGAAATTTGTGTTACAATTCAAAAAGTTATCAATGTATTAATTTAAGTTGAAGTATAAAAATAAACAGAGATATGTCTCGCCTTTTTGTAATTTTGATAATGCAAATGTTGAAATTAAAATAGCAATACTTTAACATGTAAGTTATGCAAATATTCAAAGTCGATGAACCATGACTGAAGGTACATGGCTAAACAATCTCCATGGAATGAGATGTGCCAATGCTAATACAACTGCATACCAAATACCATTGACTTATCATAAGTCGTTCCCTTTAAACAAACCTAAACACAAACATTAACTTGTGAACTGTGTAATAGTTTCAAAGTCAATGAACCATGATCAGGGGTGGGACTATATAATCTCCATGGAAACAATACTTGCAAATGCCAATACATTTGCATATCAAATATCATTGACTTACCATTAGCAGTTCATCTTAAACTGATCTAATCACAAACCAATACATGTAAACTAAGCAAAAGTTTCAAAGTCAATAGACCATGACTGAGGGAGCGGGGCCATATATTCTCAATGGAAATGAGATGTGCTAATGCTTATACAACTGAACACCAATTAACATTGGCCTACCTTTAATGGTTCCCCTTGAACTGACCTAATCACAAACTAATACATGTTAACTTAGCAAAATTTTCAAAGTCTATAGACCATGACTAAGGGGGTGGAGCCAAATAATCTCCATGGAAATGAGATATGCCAATGCTTATACAACTGCATACCAAATATCATTGACCTACCACTAGTGGTTCCCCATAAATTGACCTAATCACAAACTAACACATGTAAACTATGAAAAGTTTCAAAGTCAATAGACCTTGACTGAGGGGGCGGGGCCAAATAATCTCAATGGTAATGAGATGTGCCAATGCTAATACAACTGCATACCAAATATCATTGACCTACCACTAGTGGTTCACCATGAACTAGACCTAATCACAAACTAATACATTGTTGCCGCGGCCGCTGCCGACACCGGAAACAGCATACCTATGTCTCGCTTTTTGACTCCGTCAAGGCGAGACAACAATACTAGGTCAATGTCAGAAAAATATTAACTTTTTTGTATTCGGCGCAAAACTGAGAAAGGGCTCGGTACAACCTCGCCTTTCCCCAGTTTCTCAGCCTCAAATAAAAAAGTATATATTTTTCTGAAATTGACCTAATATTGTATATATATCTATATCTTCTTTGTTCCAAAAGTCTTGTTCCGTCAGACATGATACATTTTGTGTATTGTTTTCTTTGGAATTTTTGTAGTTCTTAATCAAGTTTTAGTATTTATCAAATCAAATTCAAGAGTTTGAATAACCTCAAAAGGGATAAATTTGACAGCTAATGCAGAAAAAAACATGTACTATTAATGCTCATTTGTCACCTGTATAAATGTGTTAAAATACAAAGTGGGATACCATTCCTAAACCAACTTTTTTCTATTTATTTATTTTTAGTAACAGTGACCTTAAGCTTGACCTTTGAATGTTGACCAATAATCAATAGAATTTTCCCCAATCTCTTATAACTTCCATCTGTATAATTTTCATTATATAAAGCGAGGGAAACTCAAGCTTCCATCCAGAAACCATTTTTCCATTTTTTTTTCTCTTTTTAGAAGCAGAGACCTTGACCTTTGATCCTTCTGACCCCAAAACAATTAGACTTCTTTCCTTTTCTTATATCTTCTATCTGCATAAATTCATTCCAATTAAGAAAGGGATACTCAAGTTACCATCTGGAAACCATTTGTTTCATACACACAGACAGATGGACAAGACAATTGCTATACATGCTAATGAAATTTTTCTGGAAGATTTTTTAATGAACCATCAAAATCCCCTTATTTCCACACCTGACAAAGTTAAGAAAGACATGTGTTTTATCATTCTGTCTGTCAATCCAAGGTATGTTTGCCTGAGTGTCTAGATTATAAAAGATGAACCAAAAAGGTTGAGAAAGACTGTCAGTATTTGTTACAGTGATTTACAGTTGACGATTGTCCAAATTAAATGTTTGTAATAAACTGTTTGTATTAGTATCTGCTGTGAACAGTCTTTTGGTCATTTGTGTTGTTAAGTTGTTGTCTCACTGACATATAGCACTGATCTTTTATAATTTTAAAATAGTTAACAGAAATGACCGACACTGGAATGATTTAAATTTGATCAGTTGACAAAAGCATAAAAGTCAAAATAAAAGCAGGATCATCATAACCAATAGAAATTATATTACCAGTTTCTATTAGTGCATAACAAATCAGCTGTGGTATCAAGAATTGACCAGAGGTTAGACGCTTGTTTATTTCTTTTGTTTATTATGTTTATTTTGCTTTTCTTGCTATGGTTTCATACTTACCTGAAATCTTCTATATGTTTATTTTAAACTTTTAGGAATATTTTGGTCAATGTTGCATTTCTGATGAAAGTACCAAAATTAAACACACCAAAATAAAACATTCATTACGCAACCAGAAATTCTAACACACTACTCAAAGGGTCCTGATGTTTCTATTAATTTGGAAAGTAAAGCAATCAATTTTAAAAGTAACGGTATGTACAATAAGCAATTAGACAGTACATACAACAAAACATCACAGTTAACACTTACTTGACAGTTTTTGTGTCAGGTAGATATTTTGATACCATGACAGTACAAGCACCACACCCTCCTTCTCCACAACCAAGCTTTGTCCCCGTCAAACATACTATTATACTGTTAAGGATACTACAATTTCAACAGCTAGTAGTATTTATCCAGGTTTACATTATATATTAAATTTAAGTAAATTCTCTTTATTGTTTATCATGTCTATATCTAAGGTGGTACATAACACTACAGGGAGATAACTCTGTAAAAATCAGCTGAACGTTTTAATCACATTCCTTGTTAAGAAAATATTAAGCTTCTCAATGATTAAAATTAGTGTTTGTCAAACTGCTATATATCCAATGAAATTTTTCTGATAAAGTGTGTGGTTCCAAGTTTTTTGAAATTTTTATATTTTTGTCAAAGGGTCAAAGTAAATATTTTGTCAAAATTTTACGAAAATTAAATGAGCCAAATTAATTTTAGTCAAGGTGTTTGGTACCACCTTAAGTATAATTTTACTGTTCACATATGTGAAACCAGTGAGATCATCCTTGAGGAAGTACAGGTTCCTTTCTTTGTTATTGCTTTTTAAAACATGTAAAAACAGGCAACCAAAGAAAAAAATTATATCTGGACAGAATTTTCAAAAATCTAGGCAGAGTTTAGAGTTTATCAGATGTACACATAGATTGATCTCATACTGTGCACAAACATTTCAAATAAGCTTTTTCTCTTCCCTTAAATATGAATGATAAAAGTATATAAATTGTTGACAGAGATAGGTATCTATTGTATGTAATTTTGATAGTAAAATTGCAATAATTTAACATGATAACTATGCAAAACATCCAAAGTCAATCTCAGCCATGACTGGAGATTTAGGGCCAAATAGTATCTGTGGAACTGCATACCAAATATTGTTGACTTATAATAAGTGGTTCCCTTTAAGCTGACCTTATCACAAATTTAAACATGAAAACTATTAAAAATTCCAATGTCGATGAACCTTTAATGAAGGAGAAGGGCCATGTAATCTCCATGGAAATGAGACATGCTAATACTAATATAACTACATTCCAAATATTGTTGATCTATCATAAGTAGTTCACCTCAAACTGACCTAATCACAACTTTAACATGTAAACTATGCTAAAGTCAAAAGACAAAAGACTATGGATATGAGATGCATTAATGCTGATACAACTACATACTAATAATGATTTCCCTCAAACTGACCCAATTGGACATTTTAAGATTTGAACTAAGTTTCAAAGTCAATAAACCATGACTAACAGGGGGAGGCCTAATAAAATCCATGGTAATGAATTGTTCAACTACATACAAATAGCATTAACATACCATTAGTCAGGTTCTACTTAAACTGACATAATCACAAACTTTAACAGATTGCTGTGACTGCAGGTTGCCTAAGGATCACCTTGAAGACACCAGACATTTAAAATCGAGAATTTTTTGTAATAATGTGCATATATTTTTATTTGACAAGCATACACACATGTATTTGACAGGTATGAATGCATGTGTTTACATATCATGCATATATTTATATTAGATAAACACAAATGAAAAATAATTATGCATGATCATTCAGTTCATAAAAAGTAGGATAAAATATTCTAATCTAATTCTATGATAAAAATTGATATCAATAATCTTACAAAAGCCATGAACAATTTGTACATCACTAATATATATAGGTTATCAGATGTTCTACATTATAGATATTGATATAGTAAAATATCAGTCTCGAGCCACAATGGAAAAACTTTTTTTTAGAGAGTGAGTGCAGCAAACAAGCACAAAAGCTTCCCATTGTGTCGTTTTGTACGATATCTTTGAGTATTTAATCTGTTTATCATTCATTTATTAGTCTTTCCTCCTCTCTTAAACAGTTTTTTACACTAGACACAAGTATAAGCTTGATGATGTCTCCTAACAAACTGTGACGTCGCAGATGGGGCAATATGGGTAATGGATTTTCCATAGGCGGTAATGGTAACGTTTTCCTCTGTACTGTAGCAGTGTCCATATCGTAAACTTGGATATGCATGATGGTTCATTTCCAAGCTGAGACTTTTTCAAATATGTGGTTAAATTTTCGGGGTACGAAGTGTGATTCATTTTTCCGTATATATTAGCACACCCCGAAAATCCTTTCGTGATGTGGCTCCTGGTGGTAAAAAATCCCTTTTTTTCACACATTAAGTTCTTTGAAAATTTAATACTTTGCATACATTTAATAACTGCACAGTTTTTACACATTTATTCTATGGTCCTCTACTTTTCAAATCAACACAAATGGTTAAGCTCAGTCACTTGTTAAAAATAGAAACATGTCCAATATCACTACACAGAGATTTTTTGTTTACGCACAACTTTTGTGTTCCTCAATTTGAGGTGCATTAGGGATATTGACCCAGATAACTTCTCCTCAGACATTGTGACATCGCTGATAATGTCTGCTAACATCTCAAAATAGTGATATGAGAAATGATTAATCTAAAAACTTTCTTGACAAGACAGCAATTCAAATACACATCATACTGTAACTAAAATATCTAAGTATTATATATAATCAATAAATTGCATGACATTGACTGGATAGGATCAAAAAGAATGATCATCTCTTTGCACTATTTTGTTGGAACTATAAAAGGTAGTGATAAACCTTGGAAGATATAGATGATTGATTGATTGTTGGTTACTTAACATTCAGTGGCAATTATTTCATGTTCAGGACAAGAACATGTTAACAGTAAATACAATAGATAGGTCCTTTGATAGAGGCCACCCGGAATGAAGGTCTGGGAAATTTGGACTGCCACTAGAAAATAAGAGTATATAGGAGAAGAAAAGAAATTTTGTTGCAACAGGCCACCTATGGACCCCTCAAAGAGTTGTTGCAAGGGTTCTTTGTGTGCAAAGAGAGTGGCATTCCCTTTAACACGAGGCATCTAAATTTAACGTCCTCTTTCTGACCAGACGTGGCTGCAAACTTGTACATCCGGCACAGCCAAAAAGACACTCCACTTTGACAAGGGTTTTACTGCCGGTCAGAAGAAGACCTTAGTGATCATATTTCTATTTCCCAGTCACCCTTGGGGGGTGGAAGATATAGATATCAAATCAGTACCATAAAGGTTTTGATTGAATTCCAGGCAACAGTTACCCTAAAACTAGAGCTTTAGTGTATATTTGTTAGAAAGGATACATTTCTTTCTGAGGTAGTACAGTAATGTATAACCTGGATCAGGATCAGGATCTTGTACCTGTAATAAAAATGTAAATATGTAATTTTCTGTTTAAATATAACATGGTGGAAAAACAATTTTTGAAAAATGATAATCATATATTTCTAGTTATATCATAAAAGAAGAAGTGGGGGTATAACCCAATGAGACAGCAACCCTTCATAATAACGTAACATAGAAAGACATAATAGAAAAACAATGGCTATGCCCATCTAAGACTCCAATCTCCAATTTAATATTAGTAGAAAAAATATCATTCCAAAATCTTTGAAGTCCCTGTTTTTATTTTTTCACAACTTGCATTGTATGTATTTGGAGTGGATTTGGCCTTATTAAAAATTTTAACAGCAAAATTACTTATGCAAAAATTTTCAGATATATGTTATGAAAACTGGCAAAGACATTTTCCTATCATGTCTATTGTTGACGACAATATGTTACAGTACTTTAGAGAACTATTATTTGCTTTACATTAGCCGTCCCATTGTAAGTGTACATATGAGTCAGGAATATCAATGTTTCAGATTCTGACCTAATTTCAATCTTAACATGCTTAATATAGAAAAGAATTTCTGACTGGTAGTGGACTTTTTACCTGAGAACAACTTTACCGGTCATCAAACTTACATGATGAGTAATTAGCAGTACAGTAAAAACAAGCCTTAATTAAACAACCTGTCTAATAGCACCTGCTATCAAGGGTTAGTTAGATAGCAGACAACTGAAATTTACTTATTTCCTTGTGAATGTTTAAGCAAATTGTCTCCTGTCATTAAAAGATCTTTTTTATGTTTATTCTCATGTTTTAACTGGTTTGTTATTGAAAAAAAAAAAAAATAAAATTGAATAGATATCTGCAAAATTTCTATTAAATTGATCAAAAAATATTTGCTCTGGATACTGTCATTAGGTCATAAACAAGTTTCTGTACAAATTTCAAAAAAATTCCAAAAAGGTTTGACAAAGTTATTGATGTTTAAAAAAATTTTAACCACAGACTGAACATTTATGTTGACGACACTCACACTGACCCCGACAAAGTAATCTAGAATCACTATGTCTCACTTCCGTGACAATGATGTTAGAGGCTAAAAAAAACACCTTACAGGAGATTATCTATGAACTTCATCACGTTCATGTACCAGGTAATATATGAGCTGCGTTGGATAGAAATTGACCTTATGCAAGTGCACATATACATGTACATGTGTAAGACTTTCACTGATTTTGGAACTTTCAAATACGAAATAAATTTTGGTCTGTTTTGTTGGGTTCTTATATCAACTCAATTTTCAAACAGTTTAATACAGACTTTGCATAGAGTTTTTTTCGACCCGAAAAATGGTTAACAGATGTATTGATATTCATTTGCATAAGGTTGTTTTCTATCCGACGAAGCTCATATTGCAATCAATCATGAAAAGGATATGACAATGTACCAACCACAGTAATATATACTTGAAAATGTAGCTGTTCATTTTTATGTTTGAATAAATTTATCTTAAATTTCCCCAAAACTCTTGTTTTCTCTTTCATATGCAAGAAATATAAATACATATATATATGTAGATTGATAAATATTTAAAGATTCTTTTAACATTGTTTTTTTTTCTTAGTTTTATTTTAAAAAGTGGAGAAAACAAAAACAAATCTGGGAGAAATCAGACAATTTAAAAACAATGATGTGTAGTTTTTTCCCTTTACAATGAAATTGATCTATAATAAAATTTACACATTTTACATATAAACTGCTCGGAAGGTTAACTTATCAGGAACTGAATTACACTGTTTTTAAAATATTATAATAAAATACATTTTCGGTTGTGGAGAATTATTTTCCAAGTCAAGAATTTTAATATGTTGGATTAAATCCCATGAAGTGCTATGAGGAAGAATATGACATATATTCCACATAATAATTAAAACTTATACTTTAGTCTTAGATGTACTTGACAAAAGTCAAGATGGTTATCAAATAACACAAGAAATTGATATGCACATATAATATTAATCATTAGAGAAAGGAACTCGTCTTGTATTCAAGGCTTATAAATCGTCCAATCATTTATATCTAGATCTTTAAGAAGGAAGTTGGGTTATAGAAAATAGATAAAGGGACTTCTTTTATTTGTCAATGAACAAAATCTTTAAACAATGGATTGCCACAAATTTTCAATGGACTGCATCCCTCTGCCATCAAATTCAAGCTAGAACATGTAGAACATTGTGTAACATCTAAAGCTATTTTACAATTGTTTCAATTTTGCATAGAAAATCTAAGATAAACTGTTGACACAGAGATATGCCTCACCTGTCTGCAGAAAATTCAGAAAAAGACAATCTGATGGACAGCAACATTGCTAGTTATTTTAAAGTTGCTGGACCATGACATAAAGGGCAATGCATCAAAATGATCATCAAACTGAGATGTACTGATAGTAATGCAATTTATAGAAAAGAGGGACGAAAGATACCAGAGGGACAGCCAAACTCATAGATCCAAAACAAACTGACAATGCCTTGGCCAAAAATAAAAAGACAAACAGACAAATAATAGTACAGATGACACAACATAGAAAACCAAAGACTACCGTAAGCAACATGAACCCCACCAAAAACTGGGGGTGATCTCAGGTGCTCCGGAAGGGTAAGCAGATCCTGCTCCACATGTGGCACCCGTCGTGTTGCTTATGTTATTACAAATCTTGTAAATAGTCTAATTCGGTAAGTCACATTTGTGAAAAGGGAGGGTATTGTAGTTACGACATAAGAAACATATCCGATATCATCTGTGAAACGGTAATTCCATAACACTCAATCAACTCGTGATGGTGTCCGTAAAATTTACGAAGGGATGACTTCAACCTCACCATTTGGAACTCTTGGCTTAATAGCTTCCTTTTGAGCAGCAATCCTCTATCAAGGAAATCATGATAGGAAACACAAGCCCGGGAATATCGTATCAATTAGGAGATATATACTCCGTATGAAGGCGCTGCTGGAATGTTGCTACATAGAAATGGAAAGTTCACAATTGGGAAGCTGAAATCATCTCTTTTGTCGTAAAGTTTTGTTTTCAACCGACCCTCATTGTCAATTTCAAGATGTAAGTCAAGATATGAGGCAGACTTAACTGTATCTGTCATGTCTGTAGTATCCTTTATCTCTAGTTCGATGGGATAGATTCGTTCAACATAGTCACCAAATTTTGTATTATTAAGTGAGAGAACTTCATCTATATAGCGGAACATAGAGTTAAAGGATATTGCTAATTTCTTATCTTTCTTTCTAAGAAGTTCCTGTATGAAGTCAGCCTCATAATAATAAAGAAACAAGTCGGCAAGAAGAGGGGCACAATTGGTTCCCATTGGAATTTTGACAGTCTGTTGAAAAACATATCCTCCAAATGAAACAAATATGTTGTCAATCAAGAAATCAAGCATCTTGATAATGTCAGTTTCAGAGAATTTTTTGTTTGAATCAGAGTGATTCTTTACAAAGTAGGATTTATCCCTCCCCAAGACAAGATACTTGAATCTGCGTTCGCCATTCTTTTTAATGAAACAAAGTAATACCAACTCTTTCAATTTGTCTTTTAGTTTGGAATGGGGAATACTTGTGTAAAGTGTAGAAAAGTCAAATGTTTTAATACTATTGTAAGATTTGAGAGTCTTAAATTGTATGTACTCTAAAAGATCTTTGGAATTTTTTAGTATCCACATCTGATTAACGCCACCTCTAGAATAGGCAGTTTCACAATAACTTTGGAGCCCAGCTTTGATTGCTGATAAAATAGATGTTAATAATTTAGAAAGAGGTTTCGTGGAGCACTTGGAAGACCCAGCAATATACCGTTGTTTGTAAGGATTATTATGTAGTTTAGGTATCCAATACAGTGATGGAAGATCCAGTTCTTCATCTTTGGTTGAAATTCCAAAGGAACATAGAACAGACCTATGATTATCCAGGATTTCCTCTTAGGTAAGTGTCGTGAGGGTATATGTTGAGTTTCCAAGTGAATTGTCAGTACCTAATTCATTTATCAAGCAATCTATGTAATGATATTTACACACAAAAACGATGTTGTTTGGGGCTTTATATGACTGGTCAATAACATATTTGTCATGGAGGTAAGACAAGTGTTTTGCAACATTTGGGTCTTTAAAAATTGACGTAGCGTGGGTATTGAAAATTTCATCAGTAGTTCCTATCAAACTACTGTAAATTCAGAAATTATTGTGTACAGAAGTCATTTATTATTGGGATATTTGAAGAATGAACAAAATTGTGAGGTTAATTTTTACAATTTCAGGAAAATTTGCGTATAGACAAATGTATCAGATAAAAGATTACGAATTCTTATTTTTGCGATATTCACCCAGTCGCATTATTCGCAATAATTTTTGAAATTTACAGTGACTTAAACATTGAAAATTGCTTATTAATTCAAAGTCGCTGGACAATGACCTAACATGCCTAAGGAGCAGGGCTTCGAAATAGTCATCAAACTGATATGTACTGATAGTAATGCAACTTCATAGAAAATATCATTGATCTATCACAAGTAGTTTCTATCAAACTAACTTTAACAGAAAACTTATCATTGAAAATTGCTTATTAATTGAAAGTCCCTGGACCATGACCTAGGGGCCTCAAAATAGTCATCACACTGATATGTACTAATAGTACCGTTGTGCGAATTTATAGAAAATATCATTGATCTATCACAAGTATAGTACATATCAAACTGACTAGATAAGGGTGAAGGTTTGGTACCATTAAAACGTTTAAACCCGCTGCAATTTTTTGCATCTGTCCTAAATAGATATAGGAAGATGTTGTATGAGTGCCAATGAGACAACTCTCCATCCAAGTTACAATTTATAAAAGTAAACCATTATAGGTCAAGGTACGGCCTTCAACACGGAGCATTGGCTCACACCGAACAGCAAGCTATAAAGGGCCCCAAAAAATTACTAGTGTAAAGCCATTCAAATGGAAAAACCAACGGTCTAATC